GGGGACCTCACACCATGTGGTCCTTATTTGTCCCCATTTACTCTGGAGCATCAGGGACCAAGGCAGCCCTGACTCCCAGTAGAGTCAACTGGGAGCTGGGGCCTGGCCTTCTGGAAGGAGCTCTACCTTGCAGCGGACAGAGGAAAGCAAGACAAATTAGTGAAAGGCCCATCCATACCAACCTGGGAGTTTGACACCATCCACAAGGGTTCTGGGTTTCCAGCTTTTTAAAGGCCCTCAGAGTGACCAGGTGGCTCTGCGTGGAGAACATACTCCACTATCCCCAAACCAGGGCCGCCAGGCTGCCCAGGGGAGTCCCAGTGCATCCTCATGGCTGCAGATGATGTCTGCCTGGAGGCTCCTTCGTGAGACGTCACCTTTGTAAGGCCTGTGTCCAGGGACAGTCGTCTGCTTCCCTGGCTGTGGAAGGAAGCGCGGTTCACAAGGCTTCGTCTGCTCCTCGGCCTCTCCAGTGCTCCTTCCATCTGGAAGTAACAGCACTGCATCCCGGGCACTGTTTGATTTTTAAGCGGTGCAGATTTGGCTGCCAAACTAGCACCGATGTCATGGCGGCTTTGGTCCTGTCTGGGGTCCATTGTGGGAAAATGACACAACTTCCCACCCGCAGAGAGGCTCCTCCGGGCTCAGGCAGGTTCTCTGACCAAAGTCATAGAGCAGGGAACCATTTCTGTGTTTACGCTGGGCTTTTTCTTCAGGGTGTGGCTGGCGAGAATCTGCACCCACATGATCTTTCACAGAAGGGAGAGTCTTTAACAGAAAGGACAGTGCAGGAGGAACGCCACAAGTCCGAGGACAGCCTGGGCTCAATAGTGAGTCCATAATCCAGCAGAGTTAGATTATGTATAACACATATTTTACAACATATATTATATACGTGACAAGGAGAGACTCTATTTACATGCTCATTCTGTTTTAACCACACAATGCAACTGGATGTATTTAATGTAAATCATCACTAAGAAAATTCTTAAATAAAAATTATTACAGGAAATCTACATGCAAAAAAGATATTTATTAGGATCGCAGTAGCAAACACTCACCAACAGATGTGTGGGCAAAGCATACACAGTGTATGTGAGGCCAGCGATGCCCACTGTGGAGTATTACTTGGCCATTAAGAAAAGTGTCATCATGTCGTTCACTGGAAAATGTAGGAAACTGGAGGACATGTCGCTAAGTGGAATGAGCTGGACACAGAGGGGCAGGTATCACAGGTTTGCTGTCATCCATGGAAACTAAGAGGAAGAAAAATAGCCTGAAAGTGAGAAAGAACTGTCAGGGAAGGGAAAGGGCCGTGGAAGGGGCCGTCGGGTGGGTGGTTGTAACTGAAGCCTAACCCATGCTTGTACAGCAGCATCACAGTGAAAGTCACTCATGGGTGCATTAATGTGAGTTAATGTTCGTTTTTGAAAAGTGCATCCACAACTGAAGTCTAAGTCATAACTAAGAAAGTCATCGAATCTGCATAAAATGAGGTACTCACTGGACTGATATCTCTGTATTTGAACAAAATATGAGTAAATTAGTCACATTTTTAGCACAGTAGCAGATTTATATTTCACTTTTCCAATATAGCTGATCCTTGGCTGGGGTGGGGTTACAGTGCCATAACCCCATGATAACTTGAGAATATCTTCCATCGGAAGTGTGAGAGAAATGAATGTGTGTGTGTGTGTGTGTGTGTGTGTGTGTGTGCCAGTTCCCTGTGATGAATTTGTACTCATTTGCAGACACAGACTAACAAAAAGAAAAACGCTGACCACCTGCGTTTCCTAGATCCAAGCCGCTGACCTCGGGGGCTCAGCAGCCTGGTCCCTGCAGGGGCGCTGCCTGCCTTGCCGACCCTTGGTCCATGCTGGCTGTGCTCCCTGGCCCAATGCTGGGGCCTTGTGCCATGTGGCACTGGCCCTGGGAAAAGATGGAGACTCCAAGTAAGACCGGTCTCTACAGAATATGGCCCGCGTTCCTGCCGTCCTGAAGTGGGACCGTTGGGTGTGGAAGCACTGCACATGGAAGGCAGCTCAGGACTTTGCAGGTAGATGATGCACCTCCTTTTCAAAGTCAAAGACGGTGGGCTCTGGCAGGTTGGGGGAAGTACCTGTAACTTTAGAAAGAGCACATTCTGAGAAATGCAAATGCTGTCTACCAGAACGGGTAGTAAACAGAGTGTTTTATAGGGAGGTGGCACAGATTGCTCCAGTCCTGACGCTGTAACGTCTCAGCCTCAGTATAATTGTCATTAAAGCAAGGAGGATGTCAGATAACTCTCAGGATCTCTGCAAAGATTCTGTGAAAAGATGTGAACTTCATCCCGCGGATTTGGAGAGGACCTTCAAGCTGGCTGCCCTCAGCCCTCTGAGATGTAAGGTGGACTCACCAAATATTAATTAAAATCCCCTCTGAAAACCATAAGTTCAGGCTGGCTGAGGAATTGGCTGTATAGTTTACAGAAAATACCTTAAATGTGCAAAGGAGAAAGAAAGAGGTAGGGATCGATCACAGCCAGGGAGCGGTACCACAGTGGCCGCAGAGAGCTCGGCACTGCGGGGCCCGTTTCCTGGCAGGGATAAAATCAGGAAATCAAGGAACAACAAGGCCCCAAGTCCTCGCTCCCAAAATTCCTTCTGCCGTGAAAGCAGCTATGTGTAATGTCCAGCGTTCCTCTCGCTGTCTAGTTAGAATGGGTCACGAGCAGGGGCATCCTTTTGTGGAAAACTCAAGAGAAAATCAAATTTTTGCATCAAATTTGGATGGAAACCCTTGATCACCTCAAGACGGGTCGCTGTCTTTTAGCTCGGCCGTCAGCCCGCATCTGGAGGACATGGTGTAAACAACGTGGAGAGTGGGGTGAACTGCTCCCCAGCACAGTGCCCAGGTTTTGGTTCATTTCCTGCCATTTTCCTGGGGCTCGGAGCGGGTGCCCAGCGCACAGGGAGCACCAGGCCTCTGTGCTGGAAATGCAACCAGGCAGGACCCGAGGTGCAGCTGCTGCAGACAGAGACAAGGACAGGAGCCCGCACTGCAGCGGTCAGGCCGGCATCCCCCACAGGAGGGACTGACCCGAGAGTGGCAGCTGTGTTTCACAGGAGTGGGGCGACCATGCCGTATTTGGGTGGTCGAGGAGCAGATGAAGTAAGACGCCCTGGTGCAGGCCATCTTCTCTGGGCTCCCTGGTTTTTTCTGCACCGAATTACAGGAGCACAAGCAATGCGATTCGACCTGGCACCGCCCTTCAGACCTCACGCATGCATCAGGGGTAAGAACAGAGGAAACTCTGTCACCAACTGGGCTTATTTTGGTGACTATCAAAGCAGATTATCCAAAGCTTACAGAAAGATGACAGAGATGCGCTGGCTTCCCGGCCCCATCCCGAGGCCCCGGGACGGGACCTGACCTTGTGTCCCACAGTGCAGCATGAAAGGGAGGGGAGACCACTGGAGCAGCCCAGAGTCAATGTCAGCAGCCTAGTGCCTGCAAGCTGGACCAAGGCCTCAGGGAGATGAGGGAGGAGCCTTGTCGGATGCCCAGTGTGGTGGTCCATCCAGCAGGGTACCCAAGACAGGCACAGATCCCGCTTCCAGAGGCACTGGGCCGGTGATGGATTTTAGACCACTGCAGAGACCTGAAGCCAGACAGCCGGGTTATTTTCCTGGTGCCAAATGTCATCACCCGGCCGCAGACATCTTCGGACAGAATGAAACTACAGTCCAACGCAGAGCACACCGCCCAGGCCCAGCCCTTTGCTCTGAGGGCCAAGGACATCTGTTCCACTCACAGGCAAGGAGTGGCAGAGAGCCTGGGCTCAGCCTGCCACCCGCCACCCTCAGTTGTGCTGGGACTTGCAGCCCGACGTCAGTGGAGCCCTGGTGAAGGCGTCCTGGCTGGCAAATTCCTGTGGGCGTCAGTGAAGAGAAAAGCACTCTTTAATGAAGGCTTTGGGTGATGGATTAGGAGCCAGGATGACCCAGCTACATGGGCCTTCCCATGGGAGGGATGTGCAGAACCAGGCGGCCCGAGGCCAAGCTCCAGCAGAGGCCAGGCCGGCCCTGGTTGTCCTGGAAGGGAAGGCAGTCCCTGCCGTCCTGCCTCAGCCTGTCCTGCTTGCAGGCCCATGGGCCAAAGCCTCTCTGCTGCCTCTGGGAAGCCAGGCATCGCCCTGCTCCAGAGAACTCATCTGGCACCTTCACTGTAGGACTCATAATCTACAGTGTATGCAGAGGGACAGGGGTACGGTGCGGGGAGGTGGCCTTCGGCACAGCCTAGCACGGGTAACCATGGGAAGCCACATGGCTGGAGCCTGGATCAGGAGAGCTTGCTGCCCACTTAGGGACAGCCCTGCCCTGGGCGGGTCACAGGGACAGCACAGGGTCTGTAGCAGGACCCTGGGCTCAGGGACTCAGGATTCCTGTCCCTTGGAATCCAGACAGTGGCCGAGGCAAGATGGGAAGAGCTGTGGAGACAGAAGGTCAGGAAGGAGAAAGTGTCCCCGCCTCTCCTCTGCTCTCTGTCCCCATGGAGCAGCAGGAGGGGTCAGGAGATGGTGTGTTCCCAGGAACGCGTTCCTCAGGCTCCTGCTGGCTTCCGGCCCCCTGAGCTGCCACATGCCCTCTCCTCGGCTACTTGGTTTCTTCATCCGCCATCCGTGTCCTTCAGAGAGGCCCATGGTGATGGATGTTCCTAGGGACCGAGTCCTGGGGCAGGCGGCTCGTCACTGTCCAACAACACCATCTTTCTTTCTGCAGGTTGGATTCATAGAAAAACCCTAATCTGACCAGCCTCACAGTCTGCTGCTGGGCTGCAAACGGCTCTGCCTTCCAGCCTCCTGCTCACCGAGGGTGACGCCGCTCCAGCCCAGGAATCGGCCACATGGACGCCTCCTTCCTGTAAAATCATCCCGAAGCTGTACTTGCCCTACTGGTCAGATGTAACCACTCCCAAAGCAACTCTCACATGGACGGACTGACAGACAGACACAGATATCTACATACATGTGAGCGTTTATTTACTTTAACAGTGGACATGGACGTTTGTATCTAAACCATGACTCTCTCTCTGCCCCCCCATACTAGCCTCTTCTGTCCTTTCCTTTCCCACGTAGTCTGTTTGCAACAATGCGGCTGAGCAGTTATGGAAAGGGGCTCGTGTCACCTCCTCGCAGCTGCCTAGTGGCCTCTAACTCACCCGGACTTTCGAGGGACTCGAGGTCTCATGCCAGAGCTGTGCTGTCCAGTGAGTGGCTACCGATCATTTATCTTGATTACATGTGGTCATGTTCGAGAGACTGATAATTGGCTCCAATAAAGTAAGTTGTTAAAAGTAATCTAGCTCGTCCTGCTTTTCGAATTTGATTGGCTGATAGAAAATGCAGAATTATCTCTCCGCCTCAGTTTGTTGCTGGTCCCGGCTGCCGCGCTGGGCTGGGCTGAATTACACAGAGAGACCCTGTCTCAAAAAACAAAAGCAAATGTGACAAAATCAACCCGAGGATAGAGGTGCTTTGCTACTGATGAGAAAACTATAAAATTTTACCAGCTGTTCATGAGGAGGGAGGTTCAGGTCAGGTTAACTGAGCAGAAGCAAGAGGAGACCGGGGCTAAGGTCTGCGGAAATCCCTCAGTGCTGCGACGTGGTTCCTAAGGATGGAGCCGTAATAAGCAGGTCAATGTTAAATTAATAACACCCTAAAAGCATCTCAGACACAATTTCCGCCCTGCATTGGAGGCTCAGCACCAAATCTGGTTTGTCCTTTTCTGATAGTGTGTCATCTCTCAGAAGGAGACAGTCAGGCACAGAGATGAAGCTTAAAATATGAAATTAATTTACCACACTCAGCTTGTGGCTGTGTGGGCCCAGGGCCTTGTCCTAACCCACACCCTGTCTGGCAGGTATCCCTAAGCAGGGCTGAAATATCGAACACCTTGTTACATGCAGAGGGTCAGAGGGACTAATCAAATGCCTCCTTATCCCTGAGGGGTTTCTTCTGTATCTGGGAAAAGTAGACACTTTTGTAAACACAACACAGTATTCATGACTTGTATCAACTGCAACACAGAGTGGAACATTTGAAGAGGGTCTTGAAGGATGAACAGGAGTTTGCTGGACCTGGAAGAAGATTTAAGGTTTATTTATTCCAGGTTCATCTGCAGACTGAATTCACATCTTGGTTGCTAAAAGCCAAAATATTAGGTGAACTTCTGAACAGTGTGAAAAAGATGCTGGCATGTTTACCCTTCTGCAGTTTATTTTCATTTTTTGCCAGTGTGCACTCAAATGTGATGGCTAGTGCCACTGCAGCCACCTCAGCACATGAGTGACTTTGACTATAGAAGCCATATCCTGTCACAGTGACATGTTGTCACAGAAACCGGAGTCCCCAAATGGCCCTGAATGGCTGTCACACTCGTGCTAAATTCCCTGACTCTGGGTTTCTCTTTCTCACTCCCCATGCACTGTTGTTCTGGACTTTCATGCTTGTGTGTAGGTGTGCTTCCTACCTGACAGATAGGTGTCGGATCATTATTCAAGAGTGTTGTTCCACGCCTCCTGGGTGCTAGGCTAGTAGTTCTCAGCTGGGAGCTCTTGTCACAAAAAAAAAAAAAAAAATCACAGATTTTAGAAAATACAAATGCTTACACTATATGTGAGAGCTTTGGGGTCAAAATTCACATGGTGAGCCCTCGGTCAGATTTATTTATGCAATTCTATATGTCAATGATTAGGTGACTTAGCCTGAACAATCCCAGAGTTCTGTCCCACCTCGTGCCCACCTTGCGAGTTCCCATGTTTCCCCACCTTGGACCCGTCTCACCTCGTGGTTTTGCTCTAAAAGTCTCTAGAAAAGACAGAGACTTCAGCAACCCACTTGGGACCCCTCCTGTCTCTCTCCCAGAGAAGCTTTCATTCTCTCAATAAATATATTCTGCTCTGAAAAACAAAGTTGGATGACTCAGATGGTAAGTAGTACCACACACTCATGAGAAAGTATGGCTGATTATCTGATTTCAGCAGTATTTCTCTATATTCCTTTTTATTCCTTCAAGGCTGATATTAATGCTTCTTTAAGACATTCCAGACTTTAATAATCTCTCTCTCTCTCTCTCTCTCTCTCTCTCTCTCTCTCTCTCATTCCTTGGTCTGTTGAGGTAAAGGTAAAGATTTGGGTTGATCTTTGCAAAAAACCAGATTTTGGCTCGTGCATTCCCTCCATTGTGACATTGTAGTTTCTTGACTGCTACTCTTTTTCCAGCCTCTGAACACACAGAGCCCCACTGCAGGTTTGAGCAGCTCTCTCTGGACCCCAGTGCTGCAAGCTATGAATCTACCCCATGTGCTGCTTTGGCCGCATCGGGATGCGGTGCAGAGGCCATGGGGAATCCTGCCGTGCACACCAGGCAGCCTTGTGCTCAGTTGCTCTGCAGTTCCAGGGATTTTGTGTGTTTTTTCCATACTCGAGCTCTGCTGCTGAGCTCCTGTGTAGACAAAGCTGGCATCTTGGCATGGGTTTGCTTGGATATTGTAAAGAGATTCTCTTGTTGCTCAGAGATTTCTTTTAAGGGGTAATCTGAAAATCATGGGTCTAAACTCTAAAAATCACGATGTGCTTGTTTTCCTGTACCTTCCTGGAGACGCGGAGACCTCCTGGGTTTCCTGGTCCTCGTGGAAAGGGCTGCACATTTCCCTCACTCTCTGCTTCCATGACACACGATGTTCACAGCCCTAAGGGACCCGCATGTCCTCTAAGTAAAGTCAGCTAGCAGCGTCCACTTTCTGTGTCCCTGCGCCCTTTCTTTCCTGGCCTGTGTACTCCCCCGGCCACCTTGAGTTTCCATAAGTTGGCACGAGTGTCACCAGCTCCATGTGACAAGCGACATCATCGCTATAATGAGAATTCCAAGCAACACCCCTGGACCCGGGCCCATCCCTGTGCCTGTTCCCACACTTGACAAAACAAATTCCAAATTCATTCAGCATGCGCTGCCATTTAGTCACTGTGACAGATCCCAAATCTTGGACTCCATGCAAAAACCAGCCTGTGCCCACAGAATTAATCACGGAACATATTTGATGACGTTTGACAACAACTTCAAAGGTTCTCATCGCTGGCAGGTGGCTTTGCCAATCTGCGAGTGCGGGCACTAGAAACTGTGCCCACTGGAAACACACAGCACAGGTCAAATGTGGAGCAGCCTGAGCAGCCCCTTGCCTTCCTTGGAGAAACCCAGGCCCAGCCCCTGTCCCGTGAAGGAAGGATGGGCCCTGGGCACTCTCGGAAAGCCAAAGAGAAGGCTACAGCTCCCCTGCCAGGAGATGCTGGGAACGTTGGCACGGTCTCTCGCACTGGCAGGACCGGGAGCTTGAGGTGGCTAATTTAAGCGACGAGATCCTGGCACACAGATTTATTTAGGGCAAGGGTGCGTCAGGAGGCTGCCAAAAAAGCACAGCAACCTGTGCCTCTCCGTTGCGATGACGAAACAGCTGACATTCAAAGAGCGGCTCCTCCACCTCGTCGCCACAGGGAACTCACCCCAGGGAGGAGAAGCGGGCTCCCTGTAGGTCTCTGGGAGCCCGAAGTGGGGCTTGGGGGGTCTCATGTAAGATATTGGGTGCACTTTTCCTTCCAAGGCATTCAGAGGGAGACTGCCCCATATGGTCATCCTATTCGGGTCAGACCATTGGGGTCCAGACCTAGGACCACTGAGCTCCTGCTCGGGCTGATGACTGAATGAAACACAGACAACACAGATTTTAGCTATGAGGGCGCCAGAAGGCTCAAAGCCTGACAACGGGCTGAGACCCCGAGGCTCGTGTCCTTGGCCTTTACCGGAGTACAGCATGATTGTGGGGTAGCTGGGGGGCTCAGGAAGCAGTGGGGTGAACTAATGACGCAGCTGAGGTTCAAGAATGTGTTTTTGGGAAATCAGCCAGGGGTCAGGGGTAGCTGCTGACCTGAGGGCTGAGTGGACTCCTGAGCTGGACGGAATGTGTGTGTGTCAGTCCTTGGTGGCCAAGCTATCTCTCCTTGAGGTACCGGAACTTCATGGTTGGTTTGCTGGCCTTGGCTTTGGCTGTTGGCTTAAAGATTAACCTGTCCCAGGGTGCGGATGGAACTCTGCTGCACTCTGGCAGGCGCAAGGTCCTGAGTTCGAGTCCCAGTACCAAAAAATAAAAAGACAGCGAGATTAACCTGTCCTGACCCTGCCACAGGCTTTGCCACAAGCCGTGTCGGCCCAGGCCAACTTTTCTTATGCCTATTTACCCGTATTAAGCGTTGTCTGCTTGTGCTGCATCAGGCTGGTCCTCAGCCTCACGCCAAGTACCTTTATATATTAATTTAGGTGCAGGTGTGTTTATTTTACACAGGCTGGTGTCATTTCCATCAAACAGAGGAAGCCAGTGCTCCCGATGTATAGGTTACAGAACCAGCGCGGGAAAAGGGAGCCATCTGGGCTGTCACTGTACTGGCGAAGCCCTACGCAGCCCCTTCACCCAAGAGTGGGCTCCCCAGGCTGCCACCCGCATGCACAGCGCTCGCGGCCTCCTGCAGATTCGCGTGCAGGGCCTGTTCCCTGCTGTTCTGGGTTCTGCGGCCCTATCAGAGCAGCTTGCCAGCGGGTCCTCCGCTCCACTTTCTCCAATCCAAGGTGGCCCCTGCCCCGGCCAGCCTGCTCCTCCTGCCGAGCCTCTCACACGCAGTGTCCACTTCCTTTTGGGCCGGGCAAGTTCTCCGCCCCAGTGGCCACTTGGGCCTCCGGCTGCCATGCAAACCCTGATTTTGCAGAGTGCAGCTCTCACTGGGATTTGTTCGGGCCCAGACTTCCTGTTCTAATTGTAAATCCCCCGCATTCCCAGGGCCGGACATCACTGGCAGCAGCCCTGGAAGGGGGGCCTCTTTCACGAGAGGGCAGGGTGGGGGGGCGCCAGGTCAGCTTCTCCTCTCCACTGAACAGGGTTAGACGCCAGGCCCCTCCCATCGCAGGTGGTCGTTACTGATTTCAGAGGGACACACAGGGGCTCCTTAGGAAAGAACTCCCCACTTTGCCTGTTTTGATTATTGGGAATCACATTTGCCCCCCTTGGAAGCACCTTCTAACATTTTTCTGTTCCTTAAGCATGCCTCAGATTATTTAAAATTAATTTTAAAATCAGCTACAACGATTGCCCTTGTTAATTTGTTTTGTTTTGTTTAAAATCCCCTTATTTGTTTATTTGTGACAAGGTCTCCCTATGTAGTATAGGCCAGTCTTAAACTCACTGTGTAGGCCAGACTGGCCTTGAATATCCAGTGATCCTCCTGCCTCAGGCTCCCGAATGCTGTGATCTCAGGCGTGTGCCACCAGACCCAGCCAAAGTCCCACTTTATAACCCAGATGGCCTCAAATTCACCATCCTCTTGCCTTAGCCGCCCTGGAGCTGGGATGACAAGTGGCTCAAAAGCACTGTATTCTTTTATAATGAAAATAATGCAAAAATTTACCTGTTTCTTTGTAGAGAAACAGAATTTTAGATGTTAAAAGCCCTAAAAATACTCTTCCAGACCCTCCAAACAGGCTGCATTAGAATCACTGGAGAATTCACAAGGTAGATTCTGCTAAACTCACGATGACCATGGGCTGGGTTCAATTCCCAGCAGGGTGGGGGGAGGAGGAGTAGCAGGAGGAAGAGGAGGAGCAGGAGAAGGAGGAGCAGGAGGAGGAAGAGGAGGAAGAGGAGGAGGAGGAGGAGCAAGAGGAGGAGGAGTAGGAGGAGCAGGAGGAAAAGTAGGAGGAGCAAGAAGAGAAGAAGGAGGAGGAGCAGGAGGAAGAGGAGGAGCAGGAGGAGGAGGAGGAAGAAGAGGAGAAACAGGAAGAAGAGGAGAAACTGGAAGAGGAGGAGGAGCAGGAGAAGGAAGAAGAGGACAAACAGGAAGAAGAGAAACTGGAAGAGGAGGAGGAAGAGGAGAAAGGGGAGGAGGAGGAGCAAGAGGAGAAGGAGGAGGAGGAGCAGGAGAAGCAAGAGGAGAAGGAGGAGGAGGAGCAGGAGGAGGAGGAGCAAGAGGAGGAAGAGGAGCAGGAGGAGGAGGAGCCCCAGAAACTTCTCCCTAAGCCTCTGGCTTAGTGAGTCCCCCAGGTTCAATGGTGCTGAATGAAGCCAGTGCTTACGTGGCCGCCTGTGCAGAGATGCGTGACCTCTGCGTGCAGGCGCAGCAGCTCAGTGCCCTGGCAGAGGCAGAGGGGCCAGTGCGGGGCTCCTGGGCACCTGCAGCCTGGTCACCACCCCAGCCCTCTATGGACCAGGCCAGTGTCAGCCCCAGCCCTGTCCAGTCCTTGGTAAACCATCACCCCTACTTCCTGAGGCAGAGCTGACTGAGCCAGGCCTGGGCATCTGATGGGGGACAGCGGGAGAGCAGCTCGGGGGACACAGATCACAGCCCCAGCTAGGGAAAGTCACCCAACTAATGACCGCTTCCAAGGCATCCCTGCTTTTCAAGCGGGCAGCATCTGCAGTCAGGTTAGCCATGAAACCATGAGGTTAACATAAAGATTCTGAAATAATGCACAATATAGTTATCTTACTATTCTGATTACTATTTATGGTTATCTAATTTTCATTTTAATGAGATACATCTTTTTAAAAAGTCAGTGTTACACATGTTGTGTGGTTTATAGCCAAGAAACCCACTTAGGCCACATGCAGTGCACCCTTTTACACCCCACTGTTTTTTTTCTTGGAGGACTTTTTGGTTCTTCCAAGAACAGCTTGGTTTCCTTCCATTTGCTCAGCTGTCCACGTGCCTGTGACATTGTGAGGGTGACTTGCCCTGCAGGTCTGTGACATGGCTACTCCTCAGGACTGCCGTGGTGAATTTTATTTTTAGCTCAGTAGCATAAGCACCTGCCTAGCAAGAGTGAGGTTGTGACTTTGATCCCGGTACCAAAAAAAAAAAAAAAAAGAGAGAGAGAGAGAATAAAACCTAACAAAATAAAACAGAATAAAGCCAATCAAAACAAAACATTAAACGTAGTACAGAACTTGGAAGCAGGATAATAGGAAATCTACAATGGCTACCATAATATCTCTTATCTTCATAATAGTTGTCCATTCCCTCAGATACAGTAAAATCAATACAAAACAGAATAAAACCAATCTAAACAGAACACTGAATAAAATAAAAAAAAAAAAAGAACACAACAAAGTGGTGAGAACAAAATTGGATTTCAAAAACAAGACAGATGAGTTCCCCATAATTCTATATTGCATATTGTTATCCTAATAGATGCTCAGACTACTGGCCTTACGCCTGCAAAATCAACCAAACAATACAAGCATTCGGTTGCTACCAGCTCAGCTTGTTTCCGAACCAGCTGGTTGCTTACAGTGTGTGTGTGAGGGGGTGCTTCTTGATTCTCTGCCTGTGCGCTGCTGGTTGGCTCACGGGAAGGGTGAACTGGCTTCTCTCTTCCTGGGCCCCACATGGTTTGCCAGTGGTGAATTTGAGAGGTCGTCTTCACCGGGCTAAGGGATGCTGAGCTGGTAAAACACTGTGTCTGAGCAGGTCAGCGACAGTGTTTCTACAGCAGGAATTCACCTGCATGGGGGAACCAAGTCAAGAAGACTGGGAACACACCATCTAACCCAGCCCCGGAGGGCCTGGTTAGAACAGAAAGCAGAGGAAGCAGAGTCTGCTCTTGCTAGTGAAGCTGAGGCCTTTGTCTTCTGCCCTCAGTGCTTCTGCTTCTCAGGGCTTTGCTCTCAGCCTGGGCCTCAGTTTCAGAGGGCCTTGATATCCCGATTTCTGATTCCTAGCTTTCAAAAATGTGACACAATAAATACCTGGTATGTTTTAAAGCCATATTTTCTTATGGTAGTCCTAGAAGGATGATACAGCTAGATATAAAATTCTACCCTGTAATTTTTTTCCCACATATGTGATAGCTGTGTCCTAGCTTTCAATGCTGGTGAGAAAGCATACAGAGTTCTGATCCCCTGTCCTCAGAACACACCCTGTCATTCTATGCGGAAAACTTCAGGATCTTCTATTTATCCCTGGAACTCTGAAATTTCATGATTATGTGGTAAGTAACCGGGAAAAGAAGCTACTCAAAAGGAGAAAAATTTAAAAATCCACAACTCCAAATTTATAAGAATAGTTCCTATTCCTACTAGAGTAGAAAAGCCATATAGTTACTAGGGACAGTGGGTAGAATTTAAGAGTACTCTACTGCCATAGTACTGGGATTCACTGAGCCCTACACAAAAGGTCAGACTGGTTCCACCCAAGATTAAACTCAAGCCTCAAAATGACAAAATTATTTGCAAAAGAGTAAATTTCACAGTGGCTGACATTCTATTAAAAAACATTAGCAGGTATGCAAGAAGCAGGAAACCGTGAGCCCGTAAGGAAACCAGTCAGAAAAATACCAGAAGTAGTACCAATGATAGAACTAGCACCTATAGACATTAAAATTACATTTTATTCTGTATGTTTAAGTAGCTATAGGAAAGACTGAGGAGGTTAAGAGTTGGAAAATGTAACACACACACACACACACACACACACTCCTAAACCAAACTACTAGAGATAAATTTCCAAGGTGTGAGAAGAACTGCAGGGGAGTAAGAGACTATTCGATATTGAAAAAGCAAAGTAGTGAACGTAAAGGCACAGGCACTAGTATTATCCACAACACCTACAAGAAAAGCTTGAAAAAAATACAGAGCAAAAGTGAGCTGCGAGGTAAAGTCATGTGGGCGGACACACATGTACACAGCTCCGGGGGCCAACCAAGGACTGCAGTGAGACTGGGAAGGGAAAGATTTGAACCAAAAGGACGATCTCTGCATTCATCTTGCTCCATGTGGTATTGCCAGCAAACCTGCAGTCCTTTAACAAACACTGGCTGCGCACAGATGTATTGGGACAAGGGCTAACCATGTCCTGTGTACTAGAGCAGGGAAGCTGGCCGCCAGAGGAGAAAGCAACAATGGGGGAAAGCAAAGCTTTTCACCAGGAACCAGAAAAGCGAGTTCGGCAGGGCTTGTAAAATTGGAGAAAGATTACACTGGGCATTGGGTCCCAATTCCGAGCAAAGCCAAGGGGGCTGGACCACAAGTTCAAGTCCCTCCAGGACAAGCCCGTGTCTCAGTGCAATGTAGAGGGCTGTGGGTGTAGCCTGGTGGTAGGCTGCCCCTGAGTTCTACCTCCTTCTGGCATGGATTGTGTCACATAACTGTAATACCAGGACTCGGCGAGGCTGAGGCAGGAGGACCTTAAGATCGAGCCCCAAACGCCTGTGCCGCACCCCGGGAACTTCCCTTTCACAGTCTCTGTCTCCAACACCTACTCCAGACTGAGCAGAGACCCAAAACTAGTATATACGCTATGTCATCCCCACGCTTAACTCCCACCTGACCCTAGAGTTTAGGAATTTAGAAGACTAGGTGCTCTCGTAGGCTGAGGCATGAAGGTCAGAAATCTGAAGCCAGCTAGGGCAACTTGGAGAGGCAACCCGTCTCAAAATTTAAAAAATAAACAAGGGCTGCAGATGTAACTGTGTGTGAAGGGTCCGAGTCCAAGCCCCGTGACCCGCAAACTCATAATAATTTAAAGGACTTCAGAGCCCGTCTTCCCGCGGTACAGATAGGGAAACTGAAGCAAGGGTGGTTCAGTAGAAAACTAGGGTCAGAAAGCTGCCAAGAATCAAGCTGCCCGACTCTTCTGCAGTGAGCAAAGGACCCAGCCCACAAGCAACGGCGCACAAATCCAGGGGCCGAACAAGAACGGGAGAAAATAGCCTTTAAAAAAAAAAAAAAAAAAAAAACTCAGAAGCCGGAAGCGGAACCGGAAGTTGACATACAAGAAGCCTAGCGCCCCTGCCTGAGTTCTCGCGATACTTCACCCAGAGAACTTCCGGTCTCTGCGGGTGCCGCCCCGCCTTCGCCCAGTCGTCATTTCCGGTGGGCCTTAGTCGCGGACAGGGAAGATGGCGGCGCTGGGAGAACCTGTGCGGCTGGAGAGGGGTGAGTGCGGCCGGGTCGGCGCCCAAACGGGAAATAGCCGGGTCGCCGGTGAGAAGGAAAGCAGAGGGGAGGGGGCTGCTGGGCTGCCGGGAGCCGGCCGCCTCCGCAGCTCGTCTGGTCGGCCTGGGCAGGGCGCCTGCCTGCTGGACTTCTGTGGAGAGCCAGGCTCACCTGCGATCGCACGGAGTGACAGTCCTGGGGGGTGATGCCAGGGGCGACCACTTCCCAGGGGGACCCACGAGTCTGACGAGCAGATGTCACGCTGTACCCAATCTCGGGCAACCCGGGGTGCCACACACTTCCCGGACGCGTGGCCCGCGGCAACGCAGCTCCGCTGCTGTCTCTCTGAGCTCGCACCTGTAGGACCGTCCCCGGCACCCACCTGCACTTGGCTCGAGAGGTATTTCCTAGTTCCGGTGCCCCTCCCGGGAATGGAAAGTCCGCTTTCAGAAGATCCCGCGGACCTGATCGTAAAGCCGAGATTACGTAATTCACCAGGATACTGGCTGATTGCAAAACACTTGCGAACGCATTGACACTTTTTTACAAATCCAGAGTTGCAGACTGTGGTTGGTTGATGGCTTCCTGGAGCCAGATAGTCAGGAAGAGCAAACCTGTACAGATAGCGAGAAGCCTGTGGAAATACCTGGCCGCGCCCTTCGCAGGGGTCCTTGTTAGAGTCTGGCCTTCCACTTAGTTCTCCCTACGTCCTTAAACAGTTAAAGCGTGTTTTTGACATCAGCGTTAGCAATCATTGATGATTGTCAACAGGTCCCAAGGAAACACTCTCAGCACTATCGGTAAGCAAAGTTTAGCACAGAGATTGAAGTTACTTTGCACATATGTAGTTATGAACATATGCAGTTACAGTCTGAATATTAATGTTTTTAAAAAGGAAATACATTTTTAGAATTTTTCTACATAGAGCAACCTCTCTCCTCATGCCTTCCCACAGACAAATGTGCACTTTGGATTGTTAACATACTCCTTATGGTGTTCACCATTTGGAAACGTTTTTTATAACAGAGATTGTTTCTCTCCAGCCCACCAGGTCACTGATGAAAGTATCATCTTACAGCAGAAGAGAGGCTGCTTGGGAGGCTTGCTAAGTTAGGCTTAAGACTGTGACATGGGCTTTCTCAGACTTAGACAATAGTGACGAGTGTGAACAGGAGTAGGTGTTTTCTCATTGAAACCGGAGCTGTAGGATTCTGATGTGTTGGCAGGCTTTTATAGTTTTTAAATGGTGCACAGAATGTGAAACTTCACCCTGTGGCATTAGCTTTGAAAGTCACAGCTTTGTATTTTGCCATTAGAGAGTTTTCTCAGGTCCTCTAAAGACTCTTCTGCACCCTGGGAAAGATGAGGCACCAGTGAGGGCGTTCAGCTGGATAAAAAGGTCGGATTGCAGCAAGAATCCTGATTCTTGCTCAGGATTCTAAGAGACTCTTTTAACAAATACTCCCGACAATCCTGCATTTTAAATGAGATCTTAAATCATCAAAGTTCATTGAAACAGTTTGAGTACACATTGGGTACAGTTTAGATTTGGTAAAGAGCATTTTACTTTTTTCATCTTTTGTGAATTGAATTTCATTTTATTGACATACTTATTTGAGATGCTGTGGAGGAAATCCAGGGCTTTGTACATGATGGACAAGTGCTCTACCACTGAGCTACACCCCACCCCCGGTTCTGTTGAACAAATGTTTCCTACAGCTTTCATATTGTGATATAAAAGTAACTGATGGACCCGTAGCCTCATTTGCCAGCCATTCTGCTTGTGGGAAATTGGAATGGGAAAGGTCCATTTCTGTCACATTTGATTAGCGTTCAGCTTTGGTTTTTGTTACCTGAAATTGAATACACTGGGTACAGCTTATTATTATAATGTGTAGGAATGCCTTCCACTGAAGTCAGAGGTCCAGGAATAGATTAGTAGGTGTACTAAGCACCCTGTGGTATGAAAATAGGGGGAAAAATGAATAGGATGGTAGCGTGAGGGAGTCTTCTGTGGTTCTTAACTCCTAGAACATATCCTCACAGCAATAGTCATGTACCATACCCGACACATGGGTTTAAGTGTGTGCAGCCTCTTGTCATCTAGAGTCAGTGGTGCCAGGACCCCGTCCACATAGCCCTTGCTTTAGTCTGAGCATCCCTTAGAGGACAGCCGCTGTTGCTCCTCAGCGCTAAGACGTGGGGAATGGCTCGCTCAGCACTCACGGCTGGCGCTGGGGCCACACTGACCAGCTGATTGTTTCTGTGTTCTAACTCGTGAACAAGTGTTTGATTGAGCTGTCTGAATTAGAAACACTGTCAGCTATCCTGGGCTGAAACGGACCAGCTAATCTCACTCATGTATACCGCTGCTAATTGCGTGCTGGCCACTGGCCACCCCAGTGGCTGGCCAATTCCTACCTGCAAGTGAATTGAATGTCCCTTTGGGAAAGGAACAGTCTCTGGCAGGGTTAAGGGCTGTGGCACCTGTGACGTATGTACGTTCGTTAAGTAAATGTTTGTTGGCTGATAGTTGCTTGGATACTGCAGCCCAGGTTGCTTTGTGCCATGCTTGAGCCCCGGGCCTTTCCTGTGCCATTTGGTGTCTCAGTCAATTCCCAGGTGGCTCTCAGATTGTCTTTCAGGGCCTGCACGTCTCTAATGCCAGTATCATTTTCTAATCTGTAAAACTTGGCATGCTTTGACTTTGCACTCCCATTGTCCATGCAAGTGCACACCTGTGAACACCGGTCCCCCCCACCCTGCCCCATTTTTCCACCTCCTGCATGTCTGGGGCCAGGAACTCTCGCGGCTGCTGTGTTACCCCGGAGAGGTCCCTGCTCAGTCAGTCCTGTTCCTGGGTCCCTAGATATCTGCAGAGCTATCGAGCTGCTGGAGAAGCTGCAGCGCAGCGGGGAGGTGCCACCACAGAAGCTGCAGGCACTGCAAAGGGTCCTGCAGAGCGAGTTCTGCAGCGCCGTGCGTGAGGTGAGGCATGAGCGGGGCCTCTGGGGCGGGCAAGACAGGTCTGGCACAGCTCTGGGGCTCGGGACACCTGAGAGAGCAGGCCTCGGAGGAGCACTGGACCATGTTCCTCTCTTGTTTGGGAAATTTTCATAGGAAAACGTTTGGCTTTTTAATTAAACTTTTATTAAATATCAGTAATTTTCACAAAGGAAATATAAATAGCAAATATGAAAACAGCTTCACCAAGATGCACACCTTTGCCACTCACTGACATCCCAGGGAGCTTGGCCTGACACATGCTGACCTCTGCCCTGCAGGTGTACGAGCACGTGTACGAGACGGTAGACATCAGCAGCAGCCCCGAGGTTCGAGCCAATGCCACCGCCAAGGTAAGCAGCTGGGGTTCCCTGTGGAGGAGAAGCTGGTCCTACACACAGTGGGTGGGTTTCAAAAACTAACACAGGGATCTTTCAAACTCCGTTACTTGTGTGCACAGTGGGTGTTTTTACAGGCTTCATAATGTTCCTCATGCAGTGTAGCGAGGGCAGGGAGGCGTCCTCCGCCGGCAGTGCGCTGTCAGGTCTGCGTCATGCCCGACGTCCATGTCAGTGTCCACAGCTCTGCAGCTGACTGGGGCACCTAGACGCACGTGCTCGCCTGGGACACAGAGAGGATGAACGCTGGCCGAGAGCTCCTGGTTCAGCCCGGCCAGCCCTGCAGGGTGGAGAGATGGCAACTGAAACCGCGTCGGCCCTGGCTCAGGCGGGCACATTGCACATCCATCCAAAGGCAGACGCTCTGACTGGGCCGGGCCTGGGCCCTGTAGTTTAGTGGCCCACAAGTCATACTGGGATAGGTTATGAGCAGGTGGAGTATTTTCCAAAGACAAAAAAGCCACAGTGAACAGGGACGTGGTTAACCCCAAGCTTCCTCTCAGGCGACCGTGGCTGCCTTTGCGGCCAGCGAGGGTCATTCGCACCCTCGCGTGGTGGAGCTGCCAAAGACGGAGGAGGGGCTTGGCTTCAACATCATGGGGGGCAAGGAGCAGAACTCGCCCATCTACATCTCCCGGATCATCCCAGGTGGGATCGCTGACCGCCACGGGGGCCTCAAGCGGGGAGACCAGCTGCTCTCTGTGAACGGAGTGGTGAGTGTCGCGCTGCAGTGGCGCGTGGTGGCCACGTGGGGGCGCGTGTGAGCGAGAGGAAGGAGCTGTGGGGAGGGAGGGCTGGAGCCCTGACTCCAGGCCTGGGGGTGCTGTCAAGTCCTGGCCCTGCAATCTTGTTAAGACGCTTCAGCTGGGACTTGTGCCGCAGAGGCGACTTGGGTGCTGAGTGGTCTCTGCGCCCTGCATGACCTGCAGCGGGCTCTGGCACTGGAGCTATGCCCTGCAGGGGAGTGCAGGATATGCTGTCCCTGCTGTGTGGTAACCAGGGCGCGGGGGATGGGGCTGTTACTCAGGCAGTGTTGCCACCAGGGTTAGCAGTCAGCTCCCATGTTCCCTGCCCTGAGCAGTACCCCCTCTTCCCCCAGAGCGTTGAGGGCGAGCACCACGAGAAGGCTGTGGAGCTGCTGAAGGCCGCCCAGGGCAAGGTGAAGCTGGTGGTGCGCTACACGCCCAAGGTGCTGGAGGAGATGGAGTCGCGCTTCGAGAAGATGCGGTCGGCCAAGCGCAGGCAGCAGACCTAGTGCCCGGCCCGGCCCGGCCCAGCCCACGGTGTTGCCCCGTTGCAGCCAGGCCGGCCACAGTGAGAAGCCAGCGGACTCCACAGCCTCCTCCCATTTTATAGACACCTATTTCCACCTCACGTGTGGGTCCCAAGATGCACACGCTTTGTGACAAGGAAAAGTCCGTGGGGACGAGGACAGTTCCGTCCTGCTGTTTTTACAGGCCTTTTTCAGACACAGATTTTTGTCATAAAGTTGTTATAGATTTTTAAAACTGCTTTTTAAATATTAAGATGTACTTTTACATTCTTAATCTTTTTTTAAAAAACAGCTCTCATTTGGCTACTTATTAAAGTAACACTTTTCCAATTTTTTTTTTCTTTTTTTAATTTATTTTTTTTAACCTGTGAAATTTCTTTCCAGTTTTCCAAGCAGTTACACGTAGTAGCCTCGCCCCTGGGGCTCAGTAACAGTCAGCCTTGGCACCATCACTGGGCTACGTTCCGTGCTGTGAGTGTTCACATCACACAGGGCAGCGCTCGTGCAGCCGAGGTTTTTACTCTTGACCATAACGTGCGTAGCCACACATTCAGACTGATTTTTAAGCGTGCATTTTCAGACACTGCAGTGGTCCTTGCTGGAACGTGCACCCTCCGTGGTGAGCAGCACGGCCTTAGCTGTGGCTGGGCGCTCCCTGCTCATGGGTGCAGCCCTGTGCACCTTCAGCCCCGACTGAGAGCCCCAAAGGCTGGTGCTGGCAGAGCTCTGGGGTCGCCCTTCTGCAGGCATGTGCGTCTGCCTGGCCTGGATGCCAGCCCTGGCCAGGAAGGGCCAAGACAGAGAAGCAGCCACACCACCTCTGGCCCCTCCAGCCTCAGTCTCTGCATCCTCCAGAGCCCACAGAGAGTGTCGTAAGCGGGAAGAAGGGGACGGTGCCTAGGTAAGTGTGAGGATGCGGCCACAGGCCTCGACAGACTTGGGCTGAGCTGGGCCTAGTGACCCTGGTCCACTGGGGGTCGCTCTTCCACTGGGGACGGTTGCTCGGCCCAGTGGTGTCCAGTGCCACATGGAGAGAGCCCATGTCCCTTCCCCTCCCAGCCGGCAGGACACTGGTGCTGTGGGGCAGGCTGATGACAGACACTGGAAGGCAGGCAGAGCAGTGAAAAATACTAGAATTTGGTGTAATTACCCATCCTGTGTTTAAAAAAAAGCGGGCATTCTGTAACATTCCTTCAGGAAGAATGGAAATGTACCCCTTTTTCTGCATGTTTGTGAGCACTGAGTCTTAAAAGCTTATTCCGGTTTTCAGAGATGTTTTGGAATAAAAGCATTATTTATCGTTTAGGTATTGACACTGGACTGCATGGTTGAATGTGTCTTTAGTCTGCTATGCAATGTGCTTGTTGTAAATGGGATCCTGTTGTTTGATTGTGTATCTTCAGAATTAATTGCTGTGCTGTTCAAATATAGAGACCAAAGTAGCATAGAGGAATTATGGACCTAATTTAATTGTAAAGTTCCTAGAGGTATCTGTTGTAGAGCTCTCTATATTAAAGAGGTATCGGTGCACATGAAACCCATGCTGTCACTGTGGTGCTTGTGTTCTTGGGTCCCGGGAGAGGGGGGCACCCGGAGGCTCTCTGCGTACACAGCTTGGGTTACCACAGTTACCACACGTGTCACTGTAGGGCAGCTACAGCTGTAGGGTTCAGAGCGGCTGGGGAGCCCTCGGCCAAGTCCCCACGTGGTGGTGGTGACCCTCAGTGTGTGGAGTGAGAGATTTTTTTCCTGCAGGGATCCACCGTCGGTGCCCTGTGCAGTTGGCACCTGTTTCTAATCCCTAAAGCAGGCGTCACCACCAGGAACTAGGTGCAGCTGTTTACCTCGGTGCCGGGAGCTCAAGCGGCAGCAGCTGCCAAGGTATCCCGGAGGCAACAGCCTCAGGACTGGGAGCTGGGGCAGCAGGTCGCCCATCTGGGGTGAGAGCCAGCCAAGGGATTCACCGCTTCTACAGAGACGGCTCATCATGGAACCAGGTGCTCCAGTCTAACGCCCCACCCTTTCCTTTCCTCTCCTCTCCCTTCCCCTCCCCCTTTCCCGTTTGGGTGTATTTCCTTCCTAGTATAGGATGAGTTGACTCGGGGCTTCTGAGCCTGGCTCTGAACCACAGCACCCTGCAGAGCTGGAAGCAGTTATTTTTGGTACCAGGAATCAAACCCAGGACTTGAGTTTGCCAGGCAGTCACTTACACTGCTGTGCTCCGTCCTGGCCCCAAGCTGAAAGCATTCTGCTCCTTGGTCTCCTCCCGCGGTAACAGCTGGGTTGGACTCACTCTGCTTAAACATGGTTCCAAGACTGAGAACTGCTGGTTCTCCTTTCTCTAATGGTCTCATTACTTACTCTGGACGCCGCTTTCCTAAGGTCAGGAGAGAAGCATTCAGTTTGCAGCCCCTTCAGGACTGGTTTGGCAGAAATCTCTGGAATAAAAATGACCTGGTGGTCCTCATCTGAAAAATAATACATGCACCTTTTTAAAAACCTAAAATCTGCCAGTGGCTTAAAAATGAATAGATATGAAATATTGACATTTCATATCTCTGTCCCCTTTGCTTTTAAAATTTACAACAACAAATAAAACAGTTTATGATTTGAAAAGCACGCTTCCACACTGCAGACAGCTCCTGGCTGCACCCATGGAGCCGAGAGCCAAGGGACCTGGAGGGCAGCAGGGCCTGGGGGGAGGCCCCGAGGCCCAGCTTCCCTCCCATGAGTGGAGTGCAGACAGGACTGAGGTTCCCCGAGCCCTGCCCTGGCCTGGAACCCAGCTGACCCGCATCTCTGCAGCCACAGCGCTGGTGTCACCGCTGTGGGCCCGCGCTGCAGGGGACACTTTCCATCCCTTCCCTGAGGCTGCAGGGACTGACCTTGGAGCCTGGGGAGCTCTGGGACTTGGCGGGTGGAGGTTTAGGGGGTGCAGGCTAAGGCCGCTTCCAAAAGCATCCATGCAGCAGAAGCAGTTCCTGAGTAGATGGCCCAGCCTCAGGGACAGGCATCCAGGCCGGGGCATCCTCTCCTGGCTCGCTGGCCACCATTCAAGGGTACAGGAAGAGGGTGCTGCTGCGCATCAGACTTTAGGTCAGCACTCCACAGTGAAGCCTAACCTGACACAACGAAGAAGATGGTGACCAGGATGCCAGGCATGGCTGGGGCTTTTCATGAGGAGTCAGACACAGTACAGGCCAAAATCTGAACCATCAGGGAGGCTGAGGCAGGAGGGTCACAAGTTTGTTTGAGCACCCGCCTTCCACGCGGAAGCTACCTACCGGCTGCAGCCCTGGGATTGTAAACCATAGTGAAGAACAACCAAGTGGTCCTGCTCACCTGGGGATCCAGCTGCTCAGAGGCTAAAGCAGAACTGGCATGCACAGGGCCACAGCCGGCAGCTGCTGCCGAGAGCTGCAGAAATCCAGACAGTTATTCATAGTCTGCAAAAAAGGCAAAAAAACAAGCTTACATCCAAAACTAGAGGATCTGCCCCCCACTTGCAGACATCTACAGGGTCGCTCAACCCAGCAGCTCCCCTGGGTGTTTGTCTATGGGCATCCATGATTCTGTCATTTGCTTTGGTTGCTGTTGCCATAGGGTCAGGAACACTGGTGCCCATGCCGGCGGCCCCTAGCTGGCCACCTGGCGCCCCAGCCTGACCCTGAGAGCTCAGCCTGGTGGTGGCACCCACACTTCACACAGTCGGGATGGAACTGTTTTTCCTGAATCGCAGTTTTTTAAAGGTTGTCCCTGGACTGAGCCCAGGGCTTCGTGCTTGCTGGGCGAGTTCTCTACCGAGATGCGTCCCGGCCTGTTTTATTTTGGGATAGGGGCTCACTAAGGTGTGCAGACTAACCTCTAATGTGTTAACCTCCTGCCTCAGCCTTCTGTGTTACTGAGATGACAGGTCTGTGCCACCTGGTCAGGCATCACAGGTGTGGCCCTGTCTCCAAATTTAAACACAGAGAAGCGGCCGGGCGTGCAGAGGCCTGGAGCCTTCCTAGTGCCCCAGAACTGAAGACACTGCCTCATTATCCATGGACCGAGCCCAGCCACTGAGAGACACACGTACCGTTTCCTCCTGTCAGCTTCCTCTGTCATCAAACCACGAATAACAAGTGTAAATACGAATAACATTGCAAGCTATTAAGCTACAGAAAGTAAAACCAGGAGAAGCAAAATATATCCATAGCAAAAAATCCCACAGAACTTTAAAAAGAGTTGGCTGGGTTTGGCGCAAAAGAGTTGGCTGGGTGTGACGCTCGGGAGGCTGAGGCAGGAGAACTGCTGTGACTTTGGGGCCGGCTGGGCTACACATCAAGACCCTGTATCCACGAATGAAACAAAAACAAGTTATTACTGAAGGGTAGCAAAGGAACTAACCACGGAATTGACAGCTGGCAGCCCTGGAGGGCAGAACTGAGACTCAAGGCCCAGGGGGCCCAGGGTGCTGCCCTGCCACTTGCCGCCCCTTCTCACGCTGGCCACCAAGTGGGCATCTCCCCCGGGCTCTGCCACGCACCGATGCCCCTGCACCTACTGCACGCCCAGCAGCCATCACGGCGTCTGTCAAACTGGGCTACCAGGGACAGGCAGGAAGTGGCTGGGCACGGGCTTCTCCGGCCACGGTATTCCGTGGCCCAGGGCCTTGCCCGCTCCCCTCCTGGTGCACTAGCCGGGCCCCAGCTCCAGCTCACACAGACAGCCTGTGCCGGGGTCAGCGCCATCGTTGCGGCCTGGAGGGACAGCGGCTCACGGCTCCAGGGCTTCCGTCCGGATCGGGGGCTCCTAGGTGGAACCACTGGCAGCATGCTGGCCGGGAACAGAGGAGAACAGCGCTGCGAATGCCCTTCTGGGTCCTGACCCCCAGGACCACCTCCAACCAGGCCCTCCCCAAACACCAGCGCTCATCGCCAAGAGCGTGTCCAGGAGCCGCAGCCAGCGCAGCAAGGAAAAGCCAGCAAGTCCCAGCTCAGCAGCCAGGTCAGACAGAGCGAGGGCACACAATTTCCTCAGCAGCTGAGCTGCAAGCAGAATTCACATTTTTAACTGCTTTATTTTAAAACAGGGTCTCACTTTGCATTCCAGGCTGGCCTCAGACTCGCGGTGATCCTCCTGCCTCGGCCTCCTGAATTGCTGGGATTACACGTGGGTGCCATCACGCCCAGCATAAAATACTGCCAAAATCACCTTTCGTGCAAATAGTAGCAAAACAGTTTTTAAAAACGTGAGATGATTTTTAGTATGAATATTTTTCTTCGGAAGCTCAGCGGGGAAGAACGCACACCTTTGCACGCACACCTTTGCACGCACACATGCACACTTTCCTGCCTGCTCAGGTGAGTCGTGCCCGGTGTTACACGCGCACGACCCGCTTCACCACAGGAGGGCAGCAGAGCTCTGCGCGGCCGCTGGGGACCGGCCCCGTAGATCGGGCAGGCCGCTATACTGTCGGATCCCTGCCGCCCGGGACCCGCGTCCCTGCGTCCCCCTGGAGTTTTTCTCCTCCCTTTTCTCCCCGAGTCTGGGCGGCAGAGCTCCCCGGGAGTCGCCAAGGGCCCCGCGGGCCTCGTACCATTTCGCTTGGGTCTCGGGGCCTGACCGCTTCAGGTAGCCACGAGGGCTCGAGCTGCGGCTGTTGTCCTGCAGAAGATTTGCGCCACATCTTCTTCGCGGCCGAGTAGTACTCCGCGACGCGTGGACCCTGATTTGCGCGCGCCTTAATCCACGGACGCGCGCTGCCGCCCCAGAGCGGGCTGCGACGCTGGGCTCCGCGGAATCCGTAGAGGGCGCCCGCCGCCAGCTTTTCCAGTCCTGAAGCCCCTGCTCGGCTCGGCTCCGCCCGGCTCGGCTCGGCTCGGCTCGGCTCGGCCCGGCTCGGCTCGGCTCGGCCCGGCTCGGCCCGGCTCGGCTCGGACCGGCGACCCCGCCCCACCCCGCCCACAGGCCCGCCCGCCCGCAGCGCCACCACCGACCACCTAGGCCGCCGCCCCCTTGTCACTCACACGGATAGACACGCCCCACCCCACTCTCGGCCAATGGCGACGGCGCCGGCCGCATAGTAATGAGCTCGAGACCCGCTCCGGCCAATGGCGCGGGCGACGCGGCCGGCGATTTGCATGCGGCCGCCGTTCGGCCGCGGCGGCGGCGGCGGCAGCGGGTGGAGGGTGGAGGGCGGAGGGCGGAGGCGGTGCGGACGCGAGGGCGGCATGGCCGGGGCGCCGGCGGACCGCTGAGAGCACCGCCATGCGCGGCCCGCGCCGCCTGCTGTGCGCGCTGGCGCTGGCGCTGCTCGGCGCCGCCCGGGCCCGCGCGCCCCTGTGCCCCGCGCCCTGCGGCTGCCACGGCGACGGCGACCGGCGCGTGGACTGCGCGGGGCGCGCGCTGGCGGCCGTGCCTGCGGGGCTGGGCGCGTTCACGCGAGCGCTGTGAGTACGGGGCTCCGGACGCGACTCTCCTGCCTCGGCCTCCTCGGCGGGCCGGGGCACGGGCCCGCGGGGCTCTGGACGCGAGGCCCGGACACCTGCGTCCGCGGGGCCCGGCCAGGAGGGGAATGCGGGGCGGGCGCGGTCGGCACCCCCGGAGGCCGAGGCAGGAGGTGGTGGCGGGGTGGAGCGGGACGCTACTGTAGCCGCGCGCTGCGGGCCGGGCTGGGACTCCGAGTACCGGGGACAGGGGCCGGGCCGGGGTTCGGCCGCCGCTGCCCTCGGCATGGGCCTGGCCGGGTGCCCGCAGCGGCCCTCGGGACGCCAGGCCTCGCCCCGCAGCAGAGCCGGAAGCCGGGAGGGGGGGGGGTCGGCCCGGCCGGTCGGTGTCGGTTCTGCGGCCGAGGCCGTCGTCCTCCGCTGTAACTTTGCCCGGGGAGGGTTTAGCTCAGAAAGTGTGCTAGCGCATGTGTGCGTGTGTGTGATTGTGTGCACACACGCGGCACCCCAGGGCCTCCGCACTGCGCTGCAGCTCTGGCCCCTTTAGTTCTCACTTGGGGCTAGCCGGGCTGGAACTTGGGTTCCTCCCGCCACAGCCTCCCTGAGTGCGGGGTTGGTACCAGCGGCCCCCCGGTGGGCAGTGCACCTCTGTCCTTGGGCTCTCCGGTCCCCTCCTGCTTTGCCTCTCCCCAGCCTGTCGCTGGCTACTCAGCTGGAGGCTCAGGGCTGTATTCAAGTGTCAGGACTCCTGGGTGTCACCTGGGCCCCAGCACTGTCCTGGGGCCCCACCGAGGGTGCGGCTTTGGCCCCAAGCTGTCACTGGCCCGCCTTGTGCTCTGGCTGGTGGCACCGCGGTCCTAAGGGCAGTGGCAGCAGAGGTGGAGGGGATTGGTGACATCTGTACCCTGTGGGAGGAGCCCCGGTCATTCTGGCCACTCTGCTGCCATCTCATGGGGTCATTCTGGGCCCAGCATGTTTGTCAGAGGGGGCTGTGGCTGCCCATAATCAGGGTTACTGGCTGCATGAGACAGGTCTCATCCTATGGCCCTGTCTGGCCTTGAACTACAGGTGATCCTTCTGCCTCAGCCTCCTGAGTGCGGAGACCACAGGGTCACCCTAGACATGGTAGACTGTGATGCGGGCTCAGAACTGCCATCCAGGAGCAGGAGTGGGCCTGCAGGTCCACGAGACTCTGCCGTGACAGTGCCAGAGCTGCCTTGTCCAGTGCTGGTGAGGCTTGGTCTGAGCCCACAGTAGGGGGTGTGCATGTGTTACTGCCTGGGGCTGCAGTGACCACAGGCCCCAGTTTACCTTTAGAGCCTTACCAGTGGCTTCCAGAAGCGTGGGTCTGGCTAGGTCTGGGTCGTACAGCTCCCCACCTCTGGTGATAGGGTCATGGCCTTGAGGAGTCCTGATGCATGTGTGTGAGTGTAAGTGTGTGTGCGTGTGCATGTGGTTCCGTATCCCAAGGCACAGCTCCTGGTAACAAGGGCAGCAACCCGGCCTGCAGGGTTTCTAGCCAGCCTGGGACTTTGTCTCCTCCTGTTTTGTTTCGTTTCCTTTCCTGACCGAGTCTCGATATCTGTGTGGTGAAGTCTGGCCTTGACTGGCCTTGTAGCCCTGGATAGCCTTGAGCTGTCGCAGCAATCCTCCCGTCTCAGCCTCCCCGGCACAGGGATTGTGGTATAGGCTACTCCCACAGTCTGAAGCCCTCGAGTTCTGAGCTCTGGACACCAGTGCTCCCCGAGATGAGCTGTTCACGCACGTGTGCACACAGCCTTGTGCACAGGAGGACACACGCATCTCCGTAGGGCTGCTAGCACTGTGGCCCTGAGACGCTGAGTCCAGGCAGTGTGGAGCAAGTATCTTCTCAGAGCTGTCCCTGTTCCCTTCCCGGTCCCTATCTGTCAGTATTTTCCAAGAATCAGCCTTTATCATGCCTTGGTTTGCTCATCTGTATCAAGGAATCACCAATTTTCAGGATGAGCATTCCTTTCTGTTGGATCTTTAAGTTTCTTTCCTCCTTTTCTTTCTGTCTTTGGTTTGTTTGAGACAGTGCAGTGCAGGCTGGTTCCATCTCATAGTGATCCTCCCGCCTCAGCCTCCTGGGCACTGGCTGGGATGACAGGCAAGTGCTGCCACACCCTGCATGACTTTTGAGCAGGAGCCCTGTCCACTGGGGCTGGCTGTGTTCCCACAGGGTCTCTGTGGCCCCCGGCAGGGCTGAGGAGCTGCCACAGGTCCCCTGCTAGCATTTGCCAGCAGTGCTGACAGCGTGGTCTCTCGGGGGTGTAGACAGCAGGTTCCGCACCTTCTCTCCCCCTGCCCGAGCTGGCCTGGGTGGCTGCTCTCCCTGCTGCCTGCCCTGTTCCTGTCCTCTTCCATCTGGCCAGGGGTGCCCCTGCCTCTTCCGCACAGCATGGACAGTGGCAGTGAGCAGAATCATCAGGGGTTCACAGGCTCCCTCTCAAACCTTCCCCATGTCCTGTCAGGCCCCAAGTGATGGCACTCCCAGGCTTCCCAGCCTGCACCCAGGAGGCTGAGGCAGGAGGATGGCTGCACATTAGAGGCCAGCCCAGGCCGCACAGCGCCTTGGACTCTGAGAACTGTGAGGGATCCAGCCTAAGGGCCCCTGGCGAGCTTGTGTGTTCAGTCTGCAACATGGACCCCAGGTTTCCTGCGCCCGCTGTGTGCTCCGGCAGCCCCCGAATCCTGTGTGACGTAGACCCTGGTCCTGTGTCCAGCAGGATGGGCACACAGACACTCTCTCCAGGCTGTTGACACTCCAGAGGTTCGGCTCCATTGTTTTTAGCATCCAGCACATTTTTCCCCTGTGCTGGGCCTCGAGACCAGGGCCTTCGCCCTCAGCCGAACCCCCAGCCCCTTTCACTGTGGTTAATTTCAGACAGGCTTCCGCCAGGTCACAGAGCTGCCCGGCCTGGGCTTGAACTAGGTGTCCTCCTGCCTCGGCCTACAGGAGTACTGGGCTTACAGGTGCACATTGCCCCTCCTGCCGTAAACATGCTTTTGTACCGTGGCGCTTTGCTCCAAAACTGCGCTGCTGCCTTGCCTCATACCTGGGGTCAGCAGGTCGGCTTAGGGGTATGTGCTGGGGGCCGAGGTTAGGGACATGGCCCGTGAATAGTCTCGGTCAAGAAATGAACATTTAAGCCAAGTGTAGGAGCTCATGCCCGTCATCCTAGCACTCAGGAGGCTGAGGCAAGAGGATCACCCTGAGTTTGAGGCCAGAATGTATGTGTATGGTGTAATATATGACATGAACATACATATATTTCTCTTGTTTTGGTTGTTTGAGACAGAGTCTCTCTGTGTAGTTCTGGATGGCGAACTCACTGTGTAGCACAGTGCGGCCTCTAGCTCATGGTGATTTCCTGCCTCAGCCTCCCGAGGGCTGGGAATGCAAGTGTGTGCTACCAGGCATGGTTTAGTTCAGTTCATTTTTTATTTTTATTTATTTATTTATTTATTTGGTCTTTTTTGAAACAGGGTCTCACTATGCATTTCAGGCTGGCCTTGAGCTCCCTTTGTAGCCCAGGCTGGTCTCAAACTTGCAACGATCCTCCTACCTCAGCCTCCTGAGTGCTGGGGTTACAGGCGCGAGCCACCACGCCTGGCCCGGTTCATTTCTTTACATCACCTTGTTCAGATGCTCAGAGGGCTTCAGTGCAGCACATTCAAGAATGGTGCCCCTGTTTCATGGGAAAAGAAGCCTACTCTCTTAAAATAACCACAGGCCTCAAGTCCTGCCCTGGGGGGCGCTGCTCTACTGCTTCTTTCTGAAGTAGGTTCCTGCTGTGTTGCCCAGTCACCTGGGCTTGTCTAGAACTTTGATCCTCCCGCCTCAGCCTCCCAGAGAGCCCACACACCCCTCTGAAAATCCCTCTGCTGACATCTGCCCTTCCCCAGCGGCTCCTCTCCTTCTCACCTGCACCCCTGCACCCGAGCCTGGTGCTGGTGCCAAGCACTGCAGAGCCGGCTCAGGACCGGCAAGCACGTTTTGCAGCAAGGAATCTTGCAAAGGGGTTCACCAAAGCCCCAGCGAGGCGCAGAGGCCCCACCACCGCCTCTTCCACCCAGGTCTCTTTCTTTCCCATTAGGGCCTTGGTGTCCTGGGTTCCGCACATGTGGGCTGCACGGCCCACGGGAAGGGCGTGGAGCATCCTCATTGTCCCGCATGCACTGCGAACCCCGCTTTGCTCCAGGCTCAGCGCTGTCTGAGTACGAAAGGGGTTTCCTAGGCTGCCCCACAAGTAGTATGTGGGTGTGCACACACAGGTACACACGTGTGCGTGAGCAGCGCTTGCCGAGTTCTGTGGCCGCACAGAGGTTGTGGTGCTGGCTTGTCAGGAGACCAGCCAGGCGTGGTGGCGCACACCAGCAACTTGGGAGGCTGAGACAGGAGGCTCACCGCGAGTTTCAGAGACTATCTCCGAAAACCAAAAACTGAGCGATGTGTAGGCCCTGCCAGTCCTGGGAGGTCAGCTGGCCTGTGTTACTGTGGGCCCTGAGAGGTCCTCTGAGCAGCATGGAGGCTGAGGGCACAGGTGTGACTGGGGCGTCACCTGCCTCTCAGGGCTCGCTCTGGGGTTCCACGAGCTTGGCCCTGGCACTGCCCTGCTCGGGTGACTGTTGTTTTACTTTTTTAGTGTTTTTTCAGACAGGGTCTTGCTCTGTAGCCCAGGCAGGCCTTGAACTCCTTGGGATTGCTCTGCCTCAGCCTCCGAGCACTGGGATTGAGGCATCCAGCATCAGGCCCTGCGCTGGCTCTTTGTTGTAGGAGGGGCCTTCCTTGCGGTGGTGAGGAGCCCGACCTGGGTGCCCCAGTGAGGTCTGGCCTCAGTGAGGGCGGAGCAGCACACGCCTGTCAGCTTAGCATTGGGGAGGCTGAGGCAGGAAGGTGTCAAGCTTGGAGCCCATCTGCGCTCCAGGCCTCAACCTTGTCTTAGAGGCAGGCAGAGCCACAGCACCCAGCACAGGAGGCCTCTCGGGTCCAGTTGCGCTTGGAGGCAGACGTTGGGTCCTGAGGCTCAGCATTGCTTTGCTTCCAGGTGGCAGCAGGCTTTTCTCCCAGACTCGCGCTCCACAGTGCAGTCTAGCCCAGCCTGAACCTGCAGCCATCTTTCTGCCTTGGCCTCCCAGCAGGTCAGGAAGACAGGCCTGTCCTGCCTGTTTTCGTTTGTTCTCTTGGTCTTGGAGGGATGGTAAGTGCAGCTTTCTGCCTGCCCCAAGGCCGGCTTGCACATGTGCTCGCACGTGTGTGTGAGTGCTCAGCATCCCCATGGCAGAGCAGCTGGCGTCAGCTTCCCAGGATGAGCCCTGGTGGCCGGAGTGGGGCCTGGGGCCCGGTGGCCGCTAGACACAGCAACAGTGGCCCTCCACGGCTCTCTGGTGCTTGCAATCTTAAAACCCCACAGGGCCTTATTCAGCTGAAGTCTTTGAAAAGCACTTTAGCTTTAGAACAAGAAACCATGCTTTTGCCTGGCGCAGTGGTGCACACCTGTAGTCCCAGCACTCCGGAGGCTGAGGCAGGAGGTTCTCCTGGGGCTCAAGGCCAGGCCAGGCTGTACAGTGAGAGTCTGTCTCAGAAAAACCAAACAGGCCTAGCAAGTGCTGCTGCTGGGTGGCCGAAGCCCTGGGTCATTACTGCCCTGCCAAGAGCTGGCTCCTGTGACCCGGAAGACCAGGCCCGTGGGGAGGCGCCTGGAAGGGGAGCTGTGCTTGTTTTACTTTGCTTGGCTTCAAAGTATAGCCGTTCTCAGCCCAGGAGCAAGGACAGAGTTGGGGGAAGTTTCCTGAGGGTTTTAATCTGTAGGACAGTGGCCTTCCAGGTGCCGGTGTGTGCTTTTCCAGGTGGGAGCAGGTGGGTACATTCTCTGCCTGGAGGAGCTGAGAGTAGTCGTTCCACCCCGGGGTGTTTGACCCACGCCAGCACAGTTTGTGGAACATGACTTAGTGATTTTTTCAGCACTACAAGTTAAGCATTTTTGTTGTGAGGTCCCCATCTCTCATCTTAATAATAATAATGTCAACTGTTTTTATTACTGCATTGATTTTTTAGACAGGGTCTAAGCATGTAGCCCAGGGTGGCCTTGAACTGGGTGATCCTCCTACCTCAGCCTCCTGGGGACTAGTGTCAGAGCATGCGCTGCTGAAGGACCGTTTCTGAGTCTTGCTCAGCCTGACAGTTTCAAGTGCAAACGTCCGTCAGTACCTTTAGTGCTGACTGTCATGCTATCAGGGTTTTTGACCCAACAACTCAGACAAGGAACAAACGTGGGGCCACATCACCATGTTCCATGCTCTTTTCAGCCGCACAGCAGAAACCCCAGATGATTTGTTTAATTTAGTACAGAGTGTCACTGAGGTTGGGCCTGTCGGGGTCAAGGCTGCCTGGATTTGTTACGTTGAATCAAGGGTTCCTGCCTTTAACTGGGAGCCTCTGAAAGGAGCGTTGTGAAATGAAGGGGTTTTGCTACACATTTTTTCCTGACTCAGATTATCTTTTTCATTGTTTTTTGAGACAGGGTTTGGCTGTGCGCTACAGGCTGGCCTCACACACGCGCGCACACACACACACACACACACACACACACACAGGTGCTGGCCTGGCTCCTGTGGCGATCCTCCCGCCTCAGCCTCCCAAGGGCTGGGGTGACCGATGTGCCCCTTAGCACCAGCCTCCAGGTTGATTGTTTCCCATAGGGGTCTGAACCCAGGCCCTCTCCCATGCTGGCCTGAGCGTGGCCTTGGCAGCTGGCCCTGGGTGAAGGGTGGCAGAGCCAGTCATTGGGTCGCAGTTCTGCCCAGCCACTGCCCCTACCCCTGCCCCTCGGAGCCCAGAGTACCCACAAAGTCTGCCCGGGCTGTTGCTGTCATTGGCAGGGTGGTCTCACGTGCTGCCCCCACTCAGGGAGGTTGGGGTCCCCTCTCCTCCCACAGCAGGGGTGCAGGCAGCAGGTCTGGCCTTGCCTGGCTCCTGCTGCCTGGTCCTTCCTGGGCTGCTTCGCAGCCCTGTTCCTCCTCCTCCCAGCCACTCCCCTCCTCACACCCGACCCTCATCCATCCACCGGACTCCCCCAGCCTGAGCTGAGCCGCGGCCAGGCCAGGCTGCTTTGTCCAGGTCCTATGTGAGCTCGGAAATTTTAACAGTATTTCAGTTGCAAATAAATGGAAATTGTGTATTCTGTTTAATGCCTAGCAGAAAATCCCGCTATTTTTTTTCTTTAAATACAAGAAAACAGGCGTGTAATGCCGATTGAGGGCCCCAGCGGGGGGCCTTTGTGCCGGGCTTAATTAGGGCTCCAAGGGGCCGGCAGGGGGTGTCATCCCGGCCCAGCCGCTCCCGGCCGCCGCGCAGCGTTTTGTCCATTTGGGGACTGAATGCCGCTTTTGTTCGTGATTAACAGAGGTGAAAGAAGCCAATTATTGGGCGGCGAAGCTGTGCAGCTGCCGCGGGGTGGGACGGCCGGGCCAGGGCTGTGGTGGTGGCGTCAGCTCAGCTGCACGGGACACATCTCAGCCCAGGCCCAGAGGGCTCCTCGAGCCCACCATCACCCTCCTTGCCCCAGCCTGCCTGCCCCACGGCCTCCCTCCGCTTGCAGAGTGACTAGCAGATGGCTGGGCTGTGTCTTGGCTTTCTGTTGTGTTTTCTGTTCCTGTTGTTTGGAGACAGGCCAGGCGTGAAATTGCCTGGGCCCTGTGAGTCTTCTGTAGAGGTGCCTGAGTGCCTCTGTCTGCCTGTCTTCCTGTCTGCCTGTCTGTCTGTAGTCCTCTCTGAAGCCAGGCTGGCCTCCCAGGTTTGAACCACCTTGCAGAGGCTCCTGGGCGCCGGCTCCTCCAGCAACTGCTTCCAAGTGTCTGTTTGCACCTCTGTCCCTGCCGGGACCCTGCGCGTCACTGCTCCGTCCCTCATGCATTGGAGAATCACGATTTTTCAAAATAGCTAGTCATGGAAAAAAAATGGAGCATGGCCAGGGCTGGAGGGCGAGGTGATGGAGGCGAGCAGGAAGGTCAGGATCACGTATGCAGGGCCCCGGGGGGGGGGGGGGGGCGGCAGCCTGGGGTGGAGGGGACAAGGACAAGGCCTGGCGTCCTGTTTTCACCTCGCTGTCATTGGGTTTGAGATGGCCTCTTGGGAAGCACACAGGAGGGGACCGCAGAGCTGCAGAAGGTGGTGGGTGGTTGAGCGTGTGAACCCGGCACCACGCTCAGGGCACTCATAGCCCTGGGTCTTGCTCTGTAACAGTTTCTAAAATTTAAGCAGCAGGTGTTTTATCAGGCCTTGTACATGGTGAAAAACTGTAATGAAAAACACAAAATCCACAGTTCACTCTCTATCCAACCAAACGAAATACCCACCCTGATGAGACAAATTTTTTGGTTGAGTGATTTTGAACTTTTTCTTTTTTCCTTTTGAGACAGGGAGGATCATGGTGGGCAATTCAGACTGGCCTTGAATTGTAGGTGATCCTCCTGCCTCAGCCTCCTGGATGCTGGGTTGACAGGTGCACACCACCAGGGCTGGCCAAGGAGCTGTTTCGTAGACGTGCTTGCCTGAGAAGTGGTCAGTGGTGAGTGGGGTAGACACTGGCTTGATGCAGGGTCCAGAGCCCTGGTCCCGTCCACCAGGAAAGACTGTCCCAGAGCTCCCGACAGGCAGCTCAAGTTGCTCCTTGGGTGTCCTGGAGATGGTGACCCGGTCCCTGCTGAGTGTGGGCTTCAGTGCTGGCTGTCAGGACCTCAGCCTTCTGTGCAGAGCAGTGCAGGGACCACAGGGGCTCACTGCACAGAGCACAGAAAGGCCAGGTTCAGACTGGTAAAAGCTAAGCAAGCCAGGCGTGATGGCCTGCACTTTGGAGGCTGAGGCAGGAGGATCACTGAGGCAGGAGGATCACTGAGAGCCCAAGGTCAGCTTGGGCTACATGGCAAGACCCTGTCTCAAAAGTCAGGAGAAAAAAGAGAGAGAAAGGGAAGCCACTGTCACCCAGGGGACAGCACAGATACACGGCGGTCCCAAGTCACCCAAGACTGTATCCAGGCCTGGGAGTGTGCCTTTCTTCCCGGGGCTGGGGTGCCTGGGCATCCGTGGGGGACCTTTGTGCTGGGAGTGACACAGGCAACTACCAGTGGAGGAGGCCAAAGGACTGCTCATCCTGGAGCCAGGCTGGCCTGGAACTCAGGGCCATCCTCCTGCCTCAGCCTCCCCAGTGTGCCCCTACCCCTGGCAGTGCTGTCCTGTGCTGCTGGCTCGTGGACTCGGAGGGCAGGTTCAGCCGATTCTGACCGTGGCCCTGAGGATCTCAGCTCTCAGGAGGATGCAGCCAGCAGTGCATCTCCCCGGCCCCACACGTGGGTTTGGCTGGTAGCACCTGATCTTGAGCCAGCCAACCTCGTGGGGCTGTGTTCTGGGCTGGCAGGGTCAGGTGGAGGTGGAGCCGTCCTGTGCGAGGCTGTCCTGCCCCAGGAGGACCCACTGCGTTGGCCTGGCCTCTGTAGTGGTGACCTCTGTGATTTCCAGCTCCTGGGCTCCAGACTTGCTATTTATAGGACAAAGCCTGTATTTTTGAGATTTTGAGGAAGGAGAGTTAGTTTTACTGAAATCCACTTTTAGGTTGCTCCTCCCAGGCTATTTTTACATCTGAAAACTTGTGTTTAAAGAAAACCTCACAGGCGCACACGTGCACGCCTCCTCCCCCCCCTCCCCCCAGTCTGGATGGAGTTGATGCTCCATCCAGTTTTGGCAGGGGCTGCAGGGAGGGCCTCTGCGGCTGCCCCTGCTGGGCTGTCTGAGGAACAGCCTGAGCTTTGCTTCGGCTTGGTCTTTTTGGAGATAGGGTCTTGCTCTGTAGCTCACACTGGTCTTGGAGTTCGCAGTGATCTCCTGCCTCAGCCTCCTGAGTGCTGGGATGACAGGCAAATGGAACTACCTTCCCTTCCCACTTGTTCTGCTGGGACCACTTTATTGTTTTGTTTTGGTTTGGTTTTTGAGACAGACTCTGGCTGTATATGTAACTGGTTTGGAACTCATAGAGATTCTCCTGCCTCAGTCTTGCCCTGTGCTGGGATACCAGGTCTGTACTACCACACCCCACTTAGCCTGGAGGTGCTCCCCAGAGGGGGTTTGCTTTCAGTTTCTGCAGTGCTGTAAAGACCTGGCCTGCAACTTAGCTGCATTCCTGCTGGCTTCCCAAGCCTGTGGTCACAGTCACGAGGTAGCAGGGGCGGGGTGTTCCGGGTCAACCTCCAGTGAGGCTTGGGAATTGAAGGTCACTGTCCTTTTGGAGAACTTTGCTGTCCCCAGAGCCTGTGTACCTGAATGCCTGTCTAAACTGACAGGTGGTATGTGAGTCCTACACACAACACCGCAGCGGCTGCACAGGTTTATCTAACGCACACCCGTGATCCCAGCCCTCGGGAGGCCGAGGCAGGAGGATTGCTGTGAGTCTGAGGCCAGCCTAAACTATACAGCTAGACGACATCTCACAAAAACAAACAAAAAGCCAACAGCCAGGGCTTCTCCCAGCTGCGGGTGGTGCAGTGGGAATTCAGCGGCTGTGGGCAGGAGGGCGGGCACAGAGGCGCTGTCTGCCTTCCACAAACAGGCGGGACCTCGGGGAAAGTCCTGTGGAGGTTTGGAGGCGCCTGTCACAACACGATCCTCACCTGCAGGACTACAGTATGGAGTTTATGGGACCTCAGAACGGAGGGCGTGGCCAACAGGAGACTCACAGTTTATTTTGTGTCCTTACCTGGCAGTGGAACCAGGCCTTACCCTGAGCTACGGCCCCTGTTTTTTTTTTTTTTCCTGTGATGGGCATCACTAAGTCAATCATCTGCCTGGGCTGGCTCGGAATTTATGACCCTCCTGCCTCAGCCTCACAGAGTGCTAGGATTACAGGCCTGCCCCACCATGCCCAAGGGGAATGTTAGTATTAGCTAGCTGCTTCGGGCCTGGGGAATGTGCACCCTCAGGCCACATGCTTCTGACCCCCAGGTGCCTGGAGAGGCTTAGCTGCAGGGGGATCGGTATGTCTGGCAGAGTTCCCCAATCCTGCTCCTGCACCAGCTCTGGCCCCAGCCCCAGCCCCGGCCCCGGCCCCGGCCCTGGCCCTGGCCCTGGCCCTGGCCCTGACATTGTGGCTCAGCTGCCTGCAGTAGTCTTAAGGTTTTCGGAATCATCATGTTTTTCTAGAAGTTCCCTGTCCGTAACTCTCGATTCCTCAGCATCAGTGCTCTTGACCTTGTCATTTTGTGCATGCGTGTGCTTGTGTGTGTGAGACAGGGTTGCCATGTAGCCCTCTCTGGCGTCAAACTCAGTGATTCTCCTGCCTCAGCCTCCCGAGATGGGGTGACAGGCAAGTGCCATAGTGCCTGACCTGTACTGGGAAAGTGGTGCTTCCGGGGTCGAGGCGCGGCCACAGCCAGTGTTTCGGACTTCCCGGGGCTGCATCCTCTCCAGTGGGGGGGCGGGGGGGACTCCCAGTGGGGAGCAAGGAAGGAGTCAGGGCGGTTGCAGCACACGATTGAGGAGCAGAGACTGAGGCAGCCACTGCTGCGTCCTAAGCACGCTGTATGTGTAGGGACTGTGAGTGACCACAGGCTACACCTTCACTGCTCATCCTCCCTCTGCCTGTGGCGCAGCCCCTCAGTGTGACTCATGGCTTTTCTGCTGGAGTAAAGAACTGTGCGCCTGTAACCCGAGTGCTCAGGAGGCTGAAGCAGGAAGGTCTTCGTCCTGAGTTAGAGGCCAGGCTGGGCTCCATGGTGAGCCCCTGTCCCAGAAAACCCAAAAGGAAAAAACAAAAACCAAGCCAGAGAAGCAAAGGGAAGCAAAACGAAGCGTGAGGACAGTCTTCCCCTGACAGCCGTGCCCGCCGGTGTCTTGCAGGGACATCAGCATGAACAACATCACTCAGTTGCCGGAGGACGCCTTCAAGGACTTCCCGTTCCTGGAGGAGCTGTAAGTTCACCTTGGGCCCCTTTGGACAGTGCCATCCTGTGTCCTGATGTCTTGTGTCTGGTCCTGGTGCACAGGAGCCTGGTGTGGGGCGTGGGCGGGGCTGGTGCGGTCACTGAGTGGGCGTCCAGGCTGGAACCCCAGGAGGAGCCTAGCAGCACTGTGTTCCTAATGGTGCCTGGTGGCTGGGCTGCAAGGGACATAGGGCCCGATTGGGTCGGGCGCTGTGTGTCTGTGGCACAGGGTACACTGTGGACCCAGCTTCCAGCCTGATTTAAGGCCAAGAATTGTCACTTCCGGTTCATGACAGGCTGGGGAGGGGGAACCCTGTCTCTGGAACTGTCGGAGGGATAACACCCTGTGGGTCCCCAGGTGGCCTGGGCTCCCCAGTGCAGGAAGGAGCAAAGTGGCAGTTGGATACTGAAAACATCCAAGCAGGATGGCACCAGCGTTCCCGGTTCACACTGCACCCAGGGCTGGGGGCACAGGATGGCTCCCAGCTCTCGAGAGTCCAAGGCTGGGGGATCACGCTGATCTCAGACAACAAAACAAAACAATTCCTGTTCCAGATGTTCCTTGTAGTCCCATCTTAGCTCAGCTCCTCCCCCAGGCAGAAAGGGGCCCAAGACAACACAGCAAGGCGCAAGCCGAGTTCCCTGCCCCTGCCCTGCTGGGACAGGACCGGCAGTGGGGCTCAGTGTGGCGAAGGACGGATTCCCTTCCCACGCTGCTCTGCGGAGTCCAGTGCCCATGGCCAAAGCTCAGGGAGGATTATTGGCCACTGGCAAGCTTGTGAATTGGGTCAAATTACTTTGCTTTTCTCTGCTCAATGCTTTGTTTCTTTTTTTGGCTGGAAAGCGAGGATAATAACCACCCTCCTTGTAGGGAATGGAAGGGTGTGTGACCGGAGCCTTATGTAAATCCGGCTCGTGTCCATTTCACTGCTGCAGGAGTGCAGAGCTCCATCCGGTGCGGGCGCTGAGCACACCTTGCATTGCGTTTCTGCTCTGTATTTTTTCTATAATGAGCATTGTTGAATAATGCTTTTTTAAAATTTTAAATTGGGGCGAGCTGGGATGGGGCCAGGTGGTAGATCTCTTGTCCTAGGTCCACCCCAGTACAGTAAAAGAAAAATAGAAAGTAGCCGTGTAGACTACTAAAGTAGACATGGTGGTATACACCTGTCTTCGCAGCAGTCTGGAGTAAAGCAGAAGCCATCTCAGCTCAGAGTAGGGGCCACGTGTGCAGTGCTGCATTTTGAGGTGCCCTGGGGTCCAGTGGGCTTTGCGAACATTAGAGACACAGGAAGAGCAGGCGTTCAGTCAGGAGGATCAGCAGGGTTCGGTTGGCCGGCTGGTCTGGGGGGCTTCCTACTGTGGTTTCTGGTTGTCACTGGGCAGGCAAGAGGGGCTGAGGGGCCTGGGGGTTCTGGGGTCTACGTCTGGGGAGGGGTCTCCCCTGGTTCCAGCTGAGCCGGGACAGCAGCTCTGGACCAAGAAGTTCAGGAACCCAGCATCCTCACCCAAAGTGAGGACCCCACTGAACAGGGCTGGGGCGCAGCAGGAGGACAGTGACAGGGCTGGGGACTCGAGCAAGCCTGGGGAGCAGGGAGCCAGCAGCCACGGACCAGGGCCAGGCACGGGCAGGGGAGCCATGGGGCACTGGGCTGTGCTGTAGCAGAGACCGAGAACCTCCCAGCCCCATGGAGAGCCCCTGGAAACTGAGACTGGAAACCCCACCCCGCCCGCAGTTCCCCTTCCGGACTGAAGTGCTCATGGCGCAGCCCCTAACAGCTGAACCCAGATGCGACCCAGCCCCTCTGTGGTCTGAGGACGAATGGATAGAGAAGGGAGCATTTCTACCTAGGAGTGCTACGCTGCCCTGAAGAAGGGTGGGCCTTGTCATCTGCAGGAAAGTGGGTGCACCTCGGTGCCAGAGTATTAAGTAAATCAGACACACAGAAAGCTTCCGCATAGGAGGTTTCTCTTCTGTGAGAAACCCAAAGGATCAGTAAAAGCAAAATAAAAGGTAGCCAATGGGAGTAGGGAGGTGGATCTTTTGCAAAGGGGGCCAGAGGTGGAAGAGGGGAGACCATGTGAAGGATGGAGGAGCCAGGCGAGCCGCAGCTCCCAGAGGTACAGCCCTCCTGCAGTCTGGAGCAAGGTGAGGGCCAGATGCAAGGGAACCAAGGATGTAGGCTGTGTCCACGCCTGGCTGGGCGGAGCTCCCCGCTGTCCTCACCCAGGACCAGAGCTACGCAGCGGTCCACATGCAGCCCTGCATCTTTTCAGTCATCCTGCTTTGGGGGATTTTTAGAGACAGAGTCTCACTGTGTAGCCCAGGCTGGCCTCAAATTCACCACGATCCCCCTGCCTCAGCCTCCCAAGGGCCGAGATCACAGATGTGGCCTGGCTGTGGGCTCAGCCTTACGAAGGATGCCAAGTAGGGGAGGAAGGAGCTCAGTGCCTTCTTCATCGCCCCAGAGATGACCTCCTGGTAGCCAGCGTTGGGCCCCATGTCCACTCTTTGCTTCCCCTGGGATGCTTGGCCCAGCCTCTTGTTCCAAGCTGTGCCTCAGGCCTCCACCAGCGCATGGGGACAGCAGCTCCTATTTGTTACCAGTTAGGAACCAAACCAAGCCAGGCACACGCCTGCCATCCCAGCCCTGGGGAGGCCGAGGCAGGAGGATCGACTCGAGGTCAAGACCGGCTGAGCCTCTAAATATCAAGAGCCCATCTCAAAACAAAACATGTGGCAGGGCCCTCTAAAGTTCCACTCCGAGGGCTGTGCTTAATCTGCAGAAACAAGCTGGGCAGCTGTGGGAGGCCTCAGTCAGGAGCTGGGAGAACCCGGCTTCTGGAGGCCGTACCTGCCCCGAGCATGGCCTGGCCCTGTGCACCCTGCCCTGCACTGGGAGTTCAAGGAGACTGGGATACCGGTGTGGGTGGGGTGGTACCAAGTGCCCACCTGAGAGGGGAGGTGGGCGGGCGGAAGTCTGAGTTGCTGATCTTGTCACTCCTTTTCCCCCAGACAGCTGGCCGGCAACGACCTCTCCTTCATCCACCCGAAGGCCCTGTCTGGGCTGAAGGAGCTGAGAGTCCTGTGAGTGCGGTGGGACTGCTTTCCTCGCGGTCAGGAAGATCTGGGGGCAGCCCCAGAGTGGGAGCCCCGGTCCCAATGACCCAGGTCAGGCCTGTCAGCCCCAGAGCCAGTCAAGGAGCTGACACAGGACCTCTGGCAGGGAGGAGCCTCCCCATGACCTGGCCCAACTTTGCAAGCACCCTGGCCAGGCTGCACAAGGTCACCGCCGGGACAGGGTCACCAGAGGGGCGGTCTGACCCCGCCCTGCCCCAGGCTTCTGGCCCAGTGTTTTGTCAACAGAGAGCAAAGGCTTTGCCCCAAAAGCAGACCCGGCCCAAGTGCTTCCTGGGACTATGAAGGGCTCTGTCCTCTCCCCCCTACCCCCATCCTGGCCCACTGGACCCTGCTGACCCCTGCCCCTTTTCCCCAGTAGCCCCTGCTTGATCCCCCATGTGAACCTCAGCATTGCGCAGGAAGCCGGGCATGGTGGCGCACACCTGTGATCCCAGCATTTGGGAGGCTAAGGCAGGAGGATCACTATAAGTTCAGAGCCAGGCAGGGCTACCTAGTGAGTTCAGGACCAGCCTAAAATACCTAGTGAGACCCTGTCAAAAAACAGCAAAGGAAAAAAAAAGCAAGGAAAACCCCAGAGAGCCTGGCTGGGGGTCGGGTTAGGAGCCCACAGGGCAGCGGCTGAAGTCTTCTTTGGGGCTGTGCGGCTTAGCACCTGGGTGTTTTCCACTGCTGCCCCACCGCTTGCCTTTGGAAATGTTCAGGGAAAATGAAAGGCTTTGTGTTCGCCTAAGGAGAGAGGGAAACCCAGCAGCTGCAGTCCAGGAATCACTGAGCACACGTTCCCTTGCAGCACCCTACAGAACAACCAGCTGCGGACCGTCCCCAGCCAGGCCATGCGGGGCCTGAGCGCGCTGCAGTCCCTGTGAGTAGGGGGGTGGGAGGGTTCGGGTCCCATCCTCCAAAGGGTTGTGTTTGAGTCCTGCCTGCCCCAGGGGCCAGGAGCTGCTGGGATCATTGTCCCTGGGCTGGGGAGAGAACCACCTCCTGGCTGTGCCTTGAGGACCCGTGCAAGGTGGCCCGTGCTCTCCTGGTCTGGCACACTGAGAACAAATGGCTTCCCACTGCTTCACATACACGAGGGTGTGCTGGGGTCACTCAGCACCTGGCCGTGGCCTTGGTCCTTGCCTGTCTGTCCATGGCTGCTTATCTGAGATGGGCTCTGCTGTGTGGCTCAGGCCAACCTTGGAGTCCTCTGTGCCTCCAGCTGACCTCACAGCAATCTGCCTGCCTCAGCCTCCTAAGTGCAGCTACATGACAGACGTGTGCTGTTCTTTTCTGAAGCAGGTTTGATCATGTGCAGCACACACAAGGTTTTAACTCTCAGCCTCTGTGCTGTGCAGTTGTCAGAAACCCTGACCATGGATGGCTCTTTGCTGCCTTTTTCTGATACAAAGCACGGATTCTCTGCATAACCCTCTGTGCGCAAGACTTAGGTTTCAGGGTGGGGAGAGTGGGAGCCGTGACCACCGGGATTTTAAACAGCTCGCCCAGCAGCCTACACCCAGGAAGGGCAGCTGTGGCCTGCAAACCAGACGGACCTGTTTCGCAGCTCCCATTAGCTGCAGATCTGAGAAATTCCAGCCGTTAAATAGGAAGCCGGTGTGAAAATTAAAATGTGTTCGAGTAAAGCACGAACTGTAAAAGTTAAACTTTAAATTGCAGCTGTAAACAGGGAGTAGCCAGGGTGCCTGCGGGGAATTTCTGGTCCAGCTGGAAGTTTAGGGTAGAAGCTGGGAGGGGGAGGGCCTGTAATCCCTTCCTGAGGAGGCTGAGGTGGGGCAGTGACTAGTTCAAGCCCAGCCTGGGTAATTTATCGACACAACCCTGGCCTCAAAGCTGAAATATTTTTATAAAGGACGAGGGGCAGCTCAGAGGGCAAGTTGATTACACAGTGCTTATTGTGTATTGATAGCATAGAGGGTTTTTGGTTCGCTTTTGATTGTTTTGGGACAGTCTTTTTTTTTTTTTGGTACTGGGTATGGAGCTCTGTGTGGCCAGGTGGCACTTATGCCACTCAGCTAAACCTCAGCCCCCTGAGCCAGGATGTTAGGGAATGCAGACCTAGAACTTGCTCCGGAGCCCAGGCTGGCCTTGAACCTGTGGTGATCTTCCTGCCTCAGCCTCCTGAGTGCTGGGATGACGGGCTTGTGCTACCATGCCCAGCAGGACAGAAGAGACTTGCAACAGTAATTAGCAGCAGAGTGTTAATTGTGTTGTTACAATGTTATTTATGGTAAGAAATTAAAAATAATATGTGTCTCAGATGTAAGCTAGGCTTTTGAAGACAGGAAATGGAAGCGGCTTCTCGAGACTGAAACAGGAATGCAGTCAGCACTGTATCATGCTCGGTATTGTATGGCTGCATTGAAACATAGTAGTCCTTTCCTGGGCATGGAGTGCGTGCCTCTGGTCCCGGCACTCAGGAGGCTGAGGCAGGAGGCTCACTGCACATTCGTGGCCCGTCTGGGCTGCATGTGGAGACCTTATCGCAAGCAGGCAGCAGAAGCCCGGAGGCGGCCTGAGCCATCTCCTACAGGGTGGGCAGGCATGGGGCTGGCCTGGCCCAGCCTGGGTGTGACTCAGGTGTCTTGGGGCCTCGCTGAGGGCTGGGTCACTGCACCTGCTGGGTGTGACTGCCCAGCACACCAGGAAGGGCAGGGGTCATGGAGTTCCCGCCTGCCACCATCCTGCTCCCTGTGGGCCGCACCCACCTACCTGGCCACAGATTCATAGCCTCAGGGACCCCGGGTTCTGATTGAGTGAGGCTGCCCCTTCTATCAGGGGGGATGGCATCGAATTCACATGAGTGTGCCCACAGCATGCAGAGGACACAGGCACAGCTGACCCTCTTCACCTAATTTCATCTTACTGGGTTTTATTTTCTGAGCCGGACTCCCTGTGAAGTCCATGTCACCTGAAGCGGGCAACGTCCTCTTGCCTCAGCCTCTGCAGTGCGGGGATGACAGGCCAGCCCCTGCGTGCCCAGCGAGACTCTGGTCCTTTAAAACAAGTCCTTCAGGATCCTTGGCACTGTTCCTTGGTCCTCAGTTTCCCTGTAACATCCCTATCCCTGCTACTGTGGCCCAGGCTGGCCTCACACTCTGATGACCCTCCTGCCTCAGCCTCCTGAGGCTCCTGAGCTGTGGCCGGTCCTCAGCTCCTTTGCATTCGGAGCCCCATACTGAGTTTGGCCCCACTCCGCTCTGCAGGCGCCTGGATGCCAACCATATCACCTCTGTGCCCGAGGACAGTTTTGAGGGCCTCCTGCAGCTGCGGCACCTGTGGCTGGATGACAACAGGCTGACGGAGGTGCCCGTGCGGCCACTCAGCAACCTGCCCACACTGCAGGCGCTCACACTTGCCCTCAACAACATCTCTAGCATCCCCGACTTCGCCTTCACCAACCTGTCCAGCCTGGTCGTGCTGTAAGCAACCCCCCACCCACCTATGGGTACCTGGTACACAGGTCTGCAGATGGGGTCTCCTTAGTAGCTGGGTTCAGACTCACTGCAGTCCTCCTGCCTCAGCCTACCGAGTGTGGGATCCCAGGTGAGCTCCACTGAGCCTGGTTCTCTTCAGAGTTTTGTGTCATATAAACTCTCAGAGCTAAGGGCCAGGATTGAGCTTAGCAGCACAGGGCCTGCCTGGCAAGTGCAAAGTGGTGAGTTCAATACCAGGTACTAATCAATAAATGAATGAATAAAAAAATACAAAGCCAATCGGAGAAGTTGTTTGGAGCTGAGTGTGCAGGAAGTGATCTTAGCCAGGTGTGGTGGTGTGCACATGTCATCCCAACACTCAGGAGGCTGAGGCAGGAGGAGTGTAGCAAGTTTCTAGCCAGCCTAGACCGTGTCTCAAAAAAAAAACACACAGAAGGACCTCGGCACTGAAGGCAGTGATGGCAGTACCGTGGGGCTTCTCTTCCCACAGGCATCTTCATAACAATAAGATCCGGAAGCTGAGTCAGCACTGCTTCGATGGCCTGGATAACTTAGAGACCTTGTGAGTACTTCATCATCTCCTGGGCAGTCTTGGTGTTGCAGGGCGGGAGCTGCTGCCCCCAGCTTGTGGTGTCAGGTCACCAGGTACACGTGCAGGCCTGAAGTGACCAGAAGCTGCTCCTGTGTGTCCTTCCTCCCCTAGTGCGCCCCCAAAGCTGCTCAACCACAGAGATCTTACTGTTGTTCAGACACTGGCTTTGTTAAATGGGTGGCTGTTCTGTAGCCTCCCTGAGGAATTCTGGGGGGTCCTGTTGTGTCATCGTTGTTGAGACAGGGTCTCTCTCTAGTTCAGGCCAGCCTTGACCTCACAAGGCAGCACAGGTTGCAGGATCTCGCAGTGATCTTCCTGCCTCAGCCTCCTGAGCTCTGGGCTGATGGTACACGTGGGCCATCCTGCAGGGCCTGTGGTTGTCTTGTTGTTGGAATGTGCTCAGGGGCTGTGTGCTGCTGACAGGTGGCCCTGCCACACTCTGTGGTCTCTGAGGAGGCTTGGGGACCCCTGGCCACAGGGTGTCTTGGGGGTAGGCAGCCTTCTTTGTGATGCTCAGTGTGTGCTGGGGGTGCAGGGAGTGGCTGGGAATGTGGGTTTGGTGCAGTGGGAGGTTTGGTTCTGGTTTCCTGGGACTTTTGGGGCCTGCAGCTCTCAGTGACTCCCAGCCGCACAGGACAGGACCCACAGCCCCTGTGACACCTGCGAGGGGTACCATACAGGCCTCAGGGTCAGCGGCGTCACACCACAGTGGCCGCCGTGGCCCAGAGCTGCACAGCAGGCCTCGCCTCCTCACCAACCTCCCCGGTCCACGATGCTTTTAGGCCACCGTGCAGTCACATCCTGTCCCGCCATTTCTGTGGGGAGAAAATTCAGTTTGTTGTTAGTCGTTTTGAGACAGGATCTCACTATACAGTTTAGCCCGGCCTTGAGTTTACTTGGTGTTTTGTTTTTAATTTTTTTTTCCTGAGACAGGGTCTCGCCACATAACCCAGGTTGGCCTTGAGCTTTCAGCCACCCTCCCGAGAAACTCCATTTAGTAGGTTGTGTGATCTTCTGGTGATACGTTATCTTGAGCATTCTTTGCCCCCCGTAAATGTGTATAGTAAGCACTTTAAATTTTGTTTAATTTTGTTTAATTCAGTACTGAAAGAAAGGGGTAATTTTGGTAGGTTGTTTTTTGTACCAGGAGGGAAACTCAGGACCCTGTGCTTGCCAGGCAGGGGCTATGCCCCTGAGCCATATCCCCGTGGCCAATGGATGTCCAACAAAAGACGTGACCTCCGCTCACGTGTCTGTACCTAAGTGCCACGTGTGTCCTCACCTTTCCTGTCTTCTGGTTTGTTTCCCAGGGACTTGAATTACAATAACCTGGAAGAGTTCCCCGAGGCCATCAAGGCGCTTCCCAGCCTGAAGGAGCTGTGAGTGGCACTCTGCCCCTTCCGCCTTCCCAGCCCCTACCCCTCACCACTTCTGTGCATTTGTGTGCGGGAGAGGAGGCGGGGATCTTGAGCACGGGCTTATGTTTGGGACAGCCTCCCTCTCAGGCTGCGGACACAGTCAGTGTTTCTAGGTGGAAACTGTGGGGTGCACTGGCACCACGCTTCTCATTCCAACCCCATGAGGCGAGGGTCGCCAGGAGTCGGGTCACTCTGGGCTGGGGGAAAGGCACAGGGTGCAGGGGAGACTTGTCACGGCTGACTGCCAGCTGTGTGACATGCACGGGCTGAGGGCTGAGGCTCGGGCCCTCGCGGAATCCAGCTCAGTGCTGCCAGGGACCTGCAGCTGGGGCCTGCAGCTGCCAGGTGATCAGCCAGGTCGCAGCCTTTCCTCCTTTGCTGTCTCCGCAGGGGCTTCCACAGCAACTCCATCTCTGTCATCCCAGATGGAGCTTTCAGCGGCAACCCCCTGCTGAGGACCATGTGAGCCCCGGGCTCTGGAGGGGTGGGGCGGGGCCTCGGAGGGGCGGGGCCAGGGACCTGTACAAGCTGACTTTTTTGAAAATATTTTTACAGACATTTATATGACAACCCTTTATCTTTCGTGGGGAACTCAGCGTTTCACAATCTATCCGATCTCCATTCCCTGTAAGTGTGAAGCAGGTTCAAAAAGATGCTCAAATATGTGTACATTTCTTTTAGTGAAAACTAGAATTTACTATTTGAGGTTCAGGAAACAAATCTCTTATACCCCCTCCCCCGAGCCAGGATAGGGTTTAAAGGACGGGAAATGGGTGGTTTGTACTCAAGGAGCACTTGGCCCAGTTATCCCACCTTCTTGTGCTGCCAGGAACAGGAGAGCTTTAGTTTTAGTGCCACTGGTGCTAACTTTGTTTAGAAGATAAAATGACAGCTAGTGCAGTGAAGCATGCCTGTGACCCCAGCTCTTGGGGAGGCTGAGGCAGGAGGATCACTGCAGTTCCAAGCCAGCCTGAGACTCTGTCTGAGACTCTGTCTGAGACTCAGCCTGAGACTCTGTCTCAAAAACAAAGGAGAAACAAACAGCAAAAGGAAAAAGGATGAAAATAGGATCTATAGCCAGGGACTCCATCTGTCCAATTCCTCAGAGTCATCCGAGGTGCGAGCATGGTGCAGAATTTCCCCAACCTGACGGGTACCATCCGCCTGGAAAGCCTGTGAGTGTGACCGGGACCTGATGACACTGGGGGGACGCCCCTCTCTGAGGACGTCCTGCATGGAGCCACAGGGCTGGGTTGGGTTGTCAGGCAAGGCGGCCACAGAGGTCGGCGAAGGTACCAGGGGCCAGGCCAAGCGCTCAGGCAGTGCTGGGCATCCCGAGGGTGGGAGAGCGGGCAGCACCCATGGGCATCCTCAGCCAGTGCCATCCCTGCAGGACCCTGACAGGCACGAGGATCAGCAGTGTCCCCCAGCACCTGTGCCTGGAGCAGCGCGCACTGAGGACCCTGTGAGTTGCCAGCTGTCCGGGGCTGGGTTTTCTGGGTCTGCGGGGTCCCCAGCCTTACTTTTCAAGCAAGAACAAAGCCAAGCCTGGTTGCTTCTGCTCTTTCTCAGCCCCATCCTCTGACCGGTTCCCCGACAGGGCTGTGTCCCCGGACTCCTCCCTCTTCCTCTTCCGTGACCTGAGCAGAGCCTCCGGCTGCCTTGGAGGCTCTCTTTGCTTAGCTTTCCTTGTCGTTTTTGTTTTGAGACAGGATCTCACTATTTAACCCACACTGGCGTGGAACAACTCCTGCCTCAGCCTCCCAAGTGCTGGGATGTCCAGTGTAGCAATGTTCTTGACCCAGGAATGGCCTAAGAAAGGGACATTGGTGTTTTAAAACCTTAAGTGCCTGCCTTGCAAGCAGGTAGTCGGGAGTTCGATCCCTGGTACCGATAAAAACGAAAAAAAACCTTTAAGCCAGCCTAGGTGTCTGGTGTAAATAATGGTTGAAAAGTGTCACTAAGACAGTTAAGTGAGTCAGTGGTTAATAAGTATCCCTTGAAGGAGATAAGTAACAGGATGAGTGACTGATTAACAGAGCAGTAATTAAACGGTGCAGTGGCCTCCAGCCTGGGGGGGGGGGGACCATGTTTTTGAGGATAAACTGAAGTGAAACCCAGTTTTAATTACTGTTCTCATATTTAACATAAATGTTTTCAAAGACGCAAGTCAAACCCACAAAGTGGCACACACCCCGTTCCGGCACTCAGGAGGCCCAGGCAGAACGGTCTGGAGTGTGAGGCCAGCCTGAGCTGACTGGCGAGAGACCCTATCTCAAGAAGAACCAAAAGCAATTTCTGATAATGTGACATTAACACATGAACCCTCAATGCTTCCAGGGACTTGTCTTACAACAGCATCAGGGACCTTCCCAGCTTTGATGGCTGCCATGCCCTGGAGGAGATGTAAGTTGGGCTTCACTGAGCAGTTCCTGTCTAGGATGGGTGCTTCTTGGGTCAGGACATATGGCCTTGCTAAGCACAGGGCTTCCAGGGGCAGAAAGCTGGCCTCTGGCTCTGCCCACTGAGCCCTCTGCTGACAGCCATCCAGGGTGGGGAGCCGTGCAAAGAACATCGGTCCTGGCTGTAGAGGGGACCAGGGAGAATACTGCCTCCCCTCCCCGCCCCACCCGCCACAGGACAGCCTTGCTAGGAGTCACATGGGAGGTGACCGGCGCCGTGTGAACCCACACACACATCTTTTATTTTTATTTCTCTGACATAGGGTCTTATTGTGCAGTTCAGGTTGGACTTGAACTCACTGTGTAGCCCAGCCTGGCCTCAAGCTCAAGGCAGTCCTCCCACCTCAGCTTCCCAGTGCTGGGGTGACAGGGGTGCCACCAGCGCCTGTGCTCCTTGCCCTGCTCTTGATGTCTCGGGCCCTGTCTCTCTGTGTCCCCTCCCCCTCCCACACCAGGGAGTCCGCACACAGAGCCTTTGAGGACCTCCAGGCCTCTCCTTAACTGCTGCTTCCCGCGGTGGGGTCTTAGATGGACAGAAAGCTTGGGGACACAGAGTGCGGCTCATCCTCTCCCCCTCCCCGCCCTCTCTTCTTTCTTAGTTCACTGCAACGCAATCAGATCTACCAAATAGGAGAAGATACTTTCCGAGGCCTGGTGTCCCTGAGGCTCCTGTAAGTCACCCATGAGAGCAGAGTGTTCTTCCGAGTATGAATCGGGCCGTGTGACAACCTTCCTGTTAGTAGCTGTCCTTAGCAAGGTCTCCGTCACAGGACACCGCAGCGGGGCCTTCCCGCTCCAAGCTTCACAGAGCCTTCACCGTGCTCGGGTGACACTGCCAGTGCTGTTGCGTGGCATGGCTGCACTCTGAGGTTCCCAAGGTCTGGGGCGCAGGCAGGGCCATCCCTCCTGGGCAGCGTGGCTGGGCCTGTGCAGACCTCTATCTGAGCTTGGGTCTGTCCCAGGCAGCAGTGGGAGATGGGGGACTAGGAGACCCAGCACACGGAGGCCCAAGCTCCGACAACTCAGTGGAAGGGAGCACTGAAATCTCATGTGCGCACGGCGACAGAGGTGGGATCTGCTTTTCCAAGGGGTTCCCCGTGAGGAAACAAGCAGGCTGGCGTGTTGCTGTGTGGGCTCTGGGTGATCCCATCCTGGAGGGGAACAGGGCAGGGGATAGGGAGGAAACAGTCGACAGCAGGACACTGCGCTAGACCATGCTGGCTGTGAGCTTTCTGGGTCTTTCTTGGGTTTAGGGTCATAGTTAGGATGAAGGTAGCATTGGGGTTCGGGTTACAGTTTAGGGGTCAGGATTATGGTTAGGGGCTTGGACTACCATTTGGGGCTTACATAGGGGCTAGGGTTATGGTTTGGGGGCAAAGTTATGGTTAGTGCTTTGTGTTACAGTTTGGGGCTTAGGGTTACAGTTAGGGGTTTGGGTTATGGTTGTGGGGGTTAAGGTTAGCGATTATGGTTAATGTTTGGTTACAGTACAGGTTAGGGTTATGCTTTAGAGTTTCGGTTTAGGACTAGTGGTCTGGGTTAGGGTACCAGTGGGAAGCCCTGGCTTCTACCAGCATCCTCCCAGATCACTGATGACAATGAAGACCTCGGCTTTGATTTGCACCCCAACAGAGGCCCATCTGTGGGGTCTGGGTGAGCACCCTACCCCACTGCAGGCTCTGGGTCTGAGCCTGGCTGACAGCTTTCCACTTCCCGCCTGCCAGAAAGTGCTATCTGAGGCCTCCTGGAATTCACTTGTTTGCTTATTGACTGTTTGTCTTCCCTCAGGGCTGGCCCTATCGCTAACCTTTGAGAAGGCAAATAATAGGAAACCCATTTTTATTTGCAGCTTTTTCTAAAGCCGGGTCCCTCTTGCCTAGCTCACGGGACCAAAGGTTACTGCATATCATTTTTGTTTTTGAACTGGTACTAGAATGATAAGATGGAAAAAAGTCACACCTGTTCTGATGGACGCCAGCCCAGCATCGGTGCTCAGAGTGCAATCTAGGAGACAAGTAGTGGTCAGGGAAAGGCCCTCGCTAATCACAGCAGAAGGGCGGCCCACAGGGCTCTGGCAGCAAGGCCGCTGTGTCACTGCCTCAGCTTTACAGCGTAGCCTAAGTAATGAGCTGTGTTCAGCGTTTCTGTGGGAAGGTTAACGTGCTGCTCTTACATTGCAGGGATCTGAGCAGAAACCAGATCCATGAAATTCACAACAGTGCTTTTGCCAGGCTCGGGGCGATCACTAACCTGTAAGTGGACAGACCTCTGGGGAGCTCAGTAAACAGTGACCTCGGAGGGGTCAAAGTGTGTGTCTACTCTGCTGTTCCCCGGCATCAATGGGAAGGTGCCAGGCTTCTCGAATGGCAAGATGCACCTTGCATCTGTCGCCTCAGCCCTTCTGAACCCCACATAGGGAGTAACGCTTAGTTTACAGATGCTTTTCAGGCAGTCGCATTGTGAGAAGTTCACCCCAAGTCCCCTTGGCATTTCAGAGACCTCAGTTTCAACGCCCTGACCTCCTTTCCCACGGAGGGCCTGAGCGGGCTGAATCAGCTAAAACTGGTGGGCAACGTGGAAATGAAGGGGGCCTTGGCACCCAAAGACTTCGTGAATCTCAGGTGTGTCTCTGATTACCTGTCTTTTTGTTGCTGCTGTTAAAGTTAGGGTAGGCTCTCAAATTATAGCGTGTCCTGGGGTTTTTTGCTGTAGTGCCCTTTTCTGGGAGGCTGTAATTTAAGAATGCTTTCTGTCTCTGTCCTTGCAAATTTGGTAAAAAGCAGAACGTGAGCATTCCTCCATAGCTGTTGAGAACATGCACTGAAATCCTCCCTGCTGTCACAGAAATCATGTAACTGATCACAGAAATTTATCACATCGTGAACTTGTCATGAACTTGTCACTACCTAAGAGATGTCTGAAGCCACATAAATGTGAACCTGCAGAACACTAACACAGTGCGAAGCCGGTCATGGTGGCACACACGTGTAATCCAGCCGTACTACTTCAGAGGGACGTTGGAGACCTCACTAAATGTAGTAGAGAAAACCTGGCAAATACTGTTGAAGGGAAAGGAGATAAATGCACCACTGTGAACAAAGTCACTTCCTTCACGGCACAGTCACAGTGACCTAGGATACTGACTTCAAATGAAGCCACCAGTTCCCTCTAACACTGAGCATGGCAATTTTCTTGTAACTGCAGTGCTGCCAGGAAATTTTAAACAGGGCTGCATTGGAGTCCAAATGAGAACAGGAAGGGGAGACACACGGTGGACCTTTGAGATCGTCCCTGGCGCTTTCCAGAGCGCTTTCCCGGCTGGGAAACCGAGGCCTGGCTGGGGAGGAGACGGCTGCCGTGGGGAGCACGGGAGGTTTTACAGCGGGTTCTCTGACTTCTCCCCAGGTCTCTCTCCGTCCCGTATGCTTACCAGTGCTGCGCGTTCTGGGGCTGTGACTCCTACGCAAGCTTACACACGGAGGACAGCAGCCTGCAGGACCACGGTGCAGGCGAGGAGAAAGGTAGGCCTTCAGGTGGCGGGGTAGGCGCACCGCTCCGGGCAGGTGACCTGTGGGTCCCCAGGCCTTCCCGAGCTGGCATGCGCACTCCTTCCCGGGCTAAGGGGGCGGGAGGGAAGTGTGACTGCACCTGTACCCTCTGTTCAGCTGCTGCGAGCGTGGGGAACAGCACAGACAGCGCAGAGCACCAGGAGCATGGCCAGATCATCATCCACTGCACACCGCCCACAGGTATGCACTGTGCTGCTCCGTGCAGATGCGCGTGCACGCCCTCTGCCGCGCTGCCCTGTCCCGCACTGCCCAGTGGAGCCCTGGGTGGAGCCCAAGGAGCTGCTTTGCCTCCAAAAGTGTACTTGGGCCCCACAGCTGGGCCACATCCCGCAAAAATCACAGGGCCGGACTCCTAGAGGCCACATCTGTATTCACAGGCTTTCAGGGCCGGGGCAGGTGGGGGGGGGGGGGTCCTGTGATGGGAGAGAGGCTTTCTGAATGCTGCTTTTCCATTTTTGATTAGTTTCGTTTTTGATTTTTTGAGAGGGGTCTTTCTATGCAGTTCTGGCTTACTGAACTCACTATGTAGCCCGGATAGGCCCCAAACTGGGAGTCATCTGCCTACCTCAGCCTCCCCATTGCTGAGATTACAGGCATGCACCACCATGCCCAACTGGTCTTTTAACTCTTTAAGACTAATTTTTGCTACCAGCCTATAATGGCTTTGAATGCTTTTTGTTATTTTGTTGTTGTTTTTCATGCTTTCTTTCCTTTCCTTTCTGACTTACTACCTTGGACCTAGTCTTGGAAGTTACTGAGCTGGTTGGACTGTGATGCCCACGCCACCATCTGCCTGGTATTCTAGGCAAGACAGGTCACTAAGTAAAGGACTGTTGTGGCTAAACTATGCTAAGCTGCAAACCAGCTGCCCTTGTTAGTAGGTGCCACAGGAGGCGCTGAGCCTTAGTTTTATAACTCAGAGTCCCCAATGTCAGCCCGCCTGGCAGGGTACACCTGTGTCTGCAGCACTCAGGAAGCTGAGGCAGGAAGATCACTGTGAGTTTAAAGCCAATGTGTACTACATAACAAGATCTGTCTCAAAAATCAAAACTAAGAATCGTGCCAGGCAGTTCACTAGTCCGCTGCGGTGTGCACTCCCCAGGGCTGCGTGTGTACTATCTGAATGGGGAACTCAGCACCTCGGTAGTCCGCAGATGGGTAAGGGGTGGGCAGGAGGCTTTGGTGCCCTTCTGGTCGCGGTGCCACCTGGGGCGGGTGGGACCACTCTGGACCGAAGCAGTGTGGGCTCTCCCAAGCCATTCTGTTTCCATACACCTCGCAGGCGCCTTTAAGCCTTGCGAGTACCTGCTGGGCAGCTGGATGATCCGCCTCACCGTCTGGTTCATCTTCCTGGTGGCCCTGCTCGCCAACCTGCTGGTCATTGTCACCACCTTCGCGTGCGGCGTGGCGCCCTCGTCCTCCAAGCTGCTGGTGGGCCTGCTGGCCGTAGCCAACCTGCTCACTGGCGTCTACACCGGCATGCTCAGCCTGCTGGACGCCGTGTCCTGGGGCCGCTTCGCCGACTTCGGCGTCTGGTGGGAGACAGGCAGCGGCTGCCGCGCGGCCGGCTTCCTGGGTATCTTCTCCTCCGAGAGCGCCGTGCTGCTGCTGGCGCTGGCGGCCGTGGAGCGCAGCCTGGCGGCACGGGGCCCAGTGCGGAGCCGCAAGAGCCGGCGGCGGGCGCGGGCACGGGTGCGGGCAGCCGCAGGCCTGGCCTTCCTGGGTGCGGCGGCGGCGGGCTGCGTGCCCCTGGTGCGCAGCGGGCCCTTGCCGGCGTCGCCACTGTGTCTGCCGTTCCCCGCGGCCGAGGCGCCGGCGCTGGGGTTTGCTGCAGCGCTGGTGCTGCTGGGCGCGCTGGCCTTCCTGCTGGCTGCCGCTGCCTACACGCGCCTCTACTGCGCGCTGGGCAAGGCCGAGCTGGGGCGCGCGCGCACCGGCGCAGTACAGCACGTGGCCTGGCTCATCTTCGCCGACTGCCTGCTCTTCTGCCCGCTCGCCTTCTTCTCCTTCGCACCACTCGTCTCCGCTGTGCCTGTCAGCCCCGAGATCGCCAAGTCGGTCACACTCATCTTCTTCCCACTGCCTGCCTGCCTCAACCCGGTGCTCTACGTCTTCTTTAGCCCGCAGTTCCGGGAGGACTGGGCCCTGCTTCGGAGGCGCCTGGCCCGGGCCGCCGGAGGTGGGAGAGCCGTGGGGGGCATGGGGCCAGGCCTGCAGGGACCCCCGGCCGCGGGGAGCCTCTTGGGGGAGCGCACTCCGCTCCCGGCCTGCACCACCTGCTGCCCCCAGCGGGCGCTGCCAGCCGTGTGCGCCTGCGGCTGCTGCGAGGCACTGCTGCTGGCCCGGCCCCCGCCCCTGCCGGCCTGCAGACACCTGCTCCGCGCGCACAGCTGCCCGGCCCTGGCTGCCGGTGCCTGCCACAGGCCCGAGGGCTCCTGGTTCGAGTGCAGCGGCGCGCAGTCGGCACCCTCAGACTGCGCGGACGAGGAGGACTCGTTTGTCTCAGACAGCTCGGAGCAGGTGCAGGCCTGCGGGCGCGCCTGCTTCTACCAAAGCCGCGGCTTCCCGCTGGTGCGCTATGCCTACAATCTGCCCAGGGCCCGGGACTGAGCCGCCGGGGGCCCTACTCCTGAACCCGAAAAAGCCCACAATGGCTCCCGGGCCGGCCTCCCAGGGAGGAATGGGGCAGTTTCGTTCTCTGTGCAGATACCTCTGGAGAACTGGTGCCGGAGTTGTCAGCTGATGACAGACACAGCAACCATCAGCGGTGGGTATGCTGGAAACAAATGCGTCTTGCAAAGGACTCCGCATGTTAGGAACAGTGCGAAACAGTGGGCTTTCCTGGTCCCTAAGGAGCAAGTCTGCAGTATTTCAGAGTTAAGCACAAGATACAACAGCTGTTAAATATTTCTTAAAAGCTGCCATTGTTGGGAGGTGGTGGGTAAGACAGGGTCTTGCTGTGTAGTCCAGGCTGTGCTTGAACTCACACTGGAGCCCACACTGGCCTTGATCTCATACCGATCCCCCTGCCTCAGCCTCCCCAGTGCTGGGATAAGAGGCATGTGTTGCCATACCCAGCTTAAAAACTTTTAAAATAGGATTTTATGCAACTGGAGAAAAGTCTTGCTGATTCCATCTAAAGTTTCACCGTTACTCTCAGGATACCTGGCTGCAGGGCTGCTGTGAGCCCTGCTGAGAGCACAGGACACTGCCCCCAGCTAGGCGTTTGTGCCCTGCACAGAAGAGTTGCAGATCCCGCTCACGGGGTTGATCAGTGTAGACCTCAGCGCATTTCTAAAACATTAACAGCTGTTGAGGGTTTTTATTTTCATAGAACATTTGTTTTGGGCCCCTGTATTTCCTAATTCCCCTCCTAATTCCCCCTCCTGTCTGGCAGTCACTAAGAGGAAGCGGGAAGATGGGGGCCGTCTGGGTTCGCAGACTGTAGGTGAAGATCTGTACTGGCACCTGCGAGGCCTGGCGGCCTGTACCAGGCCCAGTCATAAACGCTTTCCGATCTTCTCCAGATGTCGGTACGACACCTCTTAAGAGTTCAAAGTGCCAGCGTAAATAATCTTGTATAATTGGAAGAAATGAGTAATTAAAACCCAAAGCATTTATTTCTTAGTGAGCCAGACTGACCTTAAGATTTCCCTTATATGCAGACTTCCACACATTTTCCCCATGCTTTGATTTCAGAGCAAACTACCTGATATTGGCTTATGCTAGACATGGTGGCTCACGCATGTAATCCCAGGCCTCAGGAGACTGAGGCAGGTAGATTCCTGTGAGTTGAAGGCCAGTCTGGGTTACAAAACAAACCCCTCCCTAAAATCCCCAATGCTCAGATACTAAGCTGTAGTTAAACAAGGCAGATACGTCATGGTGGGGGAAGAGGGAATAACATAGAGCCCAATGTCTTTAAAAATTAAACTTTATTTGATCCTTAATTACGGGCTTCGGATGTTACCATGTGGAGTCTGACATTCTGATTTTTCAGTGCATCTGTGAACAGTGCTAAGCCTCTGCCACACTGGTTCTCCTGCATGTCTTCAGACACAGAATCTGGATTGCAGTTCAGTAAGGAAACTGTACATATGTGCATAGAATGAATTGTTACGTTCTGTAAATTAGTTCTAGAACACAAGCTGGGAACCGTGGCCTCTTCCTTTCGTTTCACTAAAGCTACCTCCTGAAGTATAGTGGCTGCCAGTAGCAGGATGTTCAGCTGTGGTTCATCGACTTTTTGGTATTGTAAATAATCCTGATTGTATATTGTCAGTGTAATTAAAACAGAATCTTTGTATATCAAAATCATGTAGTTTGTATAAAATGTGGGGGAGGGGTTTATTTACAGTGTGATGTAATTTTGTAAGGATAGCTAGTTCCAAGTTTTAAAAGTTGCTATCTTGTTTGTATATTGACACATATGATCAATATTAAATCATACTTTGGTAAGAAAGTCGTAATGAAAAGTTGTTTTCCCCAACCTGCAGGTTACTAGAAACTTGATTTCTTTTCATTTAAAAAATAGAATAGCAGATCCATTAGATATGTGGTAACTTTTGCTACACATATGGTATCATATGCAATATTGTACTCAGTGTTTTGAATTATTAAAGTTTCTAGAAAGCAATCTATTTTGCCTAAATATGTAATGAGGTATGTTGACGAATTTACTTAATAATATGTGATCAAATTAAAATTGTAAAAAGTATTAGAAGAAATGTTGGAAATGACTATAAAAGACAGTATTTTGATGCTCATCTATAAATATTTAAGAACACTGCCGATGTTTTACAAGTTCTTACTCTAAGTCTAAACCTTGAGAAACATCTTGAAACTGAAGAGAATCCCATCAATGACATTTTTCTTTAAAACTCGATGGTTGGGGTCAGGGGTGCAGCTTGGCACCACAAGCACCTGCCTGGCAGACAGAAGGTCCTGAGTTCGATTCCCAGTACCCCTCCCCCCCAAAAAAACATATATTTAAAACCTGTGTAAGCCCAGAATGGTGGTGCCCAGCACTCCAGAGCCTGAGGCAGGTTTGTGGGCTCAACTACACAGAGAGACTTGTCTCAAAGACAATCAACCCCTTTCCCTTGCTTGATCTGCAAGGTCGTCACCTGCCCCTCGGTGTCCACAGTCCTGGAGTCCTAGGTTTATGAAGGAGAAAGCAAAGAGTTTGAGGAAGTGAAGAGAAACACTGTTCCTTCAAAGAAGACCTGGACCAGCACCCAATTCCTTGGAGTTCCACCCAGGTTTCATTACTATCTGAAATGTCAGCCACAGAACAGTCCCTGTCATGTCCCACCTGCGCTGACAGTGTTCACAGCGTGCAGCGAATCCCGACACACACACACACACACACACACACACACACACACACACACACCTGCTTCCTGCTCAGATTGTACAGGGATTGCCCATGTGAGTGCCCCCACATCCAAGGGACTCATTTTTCAGTGCTGTGTGGTCATGGCCACAGGACTACACATTCTTGTTTGAAAACTTCTGGAGAATGTGGTCCTTTGTCTCCTTCCCTCCACTTCCACTTTCTCTTCTTTTGTTTCTTTTTTTTTGTTTTGTTTTGTTTTGTTTTGTTTTTGGTACTGGGATCAAACTCATGAGCTCATACTTGCCAGGCAGGCACTTGTGCCCCTGAGCTAAATCCCCAGCCCTAGTATGCTACCACTTTTTCTTCTTGAGGAACTTGGGGTTAAACCCAATGCCTTTGCACTCAGCTGTATCCTCAGATCTTAAAAACTTTTTCTAAAACTTTACAGGGTCTGTGTGGCCCAGAGTTTTTCCAACTTGTGATCTTTGTGCCACAGCCTCTCAGACACGAATTTTAGGGTAAAGGTCACTTCCCAGCAGCCACAGAACTAGATCAAAATAGCTGTATCACAGAAGTTAAAGTGAGTGAGCAGTAATAGAATGTGTTACTAAGTCTATTCTGTAAAATTTAAGGGGAGACTCACTGGGCATGGTGGTGTACACCTGTGATCCCAGCACTCAGGGCTGAGGCAGGAGGGTTTCTATGAGTTTGAGCCCAGCCAGAGCTATGCAGCAAGTTCAAGGCCAGTCTGAATTACACATGGAGACCCTGTCTCCAAAACTTTGACTGCCAGGCATGGCGGTGCACTCCTGTAATTCCATTACTAAGGAGGCTGAGGCAGAAGGATCTTTGCAAGTTCGAGACCACCCTGGGCTACAAAGTGAGCTCAGCCTGAACTTCCTGAACTGCATGCATATCAAGACCCTGTCCCAAAAAGACAAAAATTAAGAGACTCATGTATGCACCTGAGTAGAGTTCTACCTGTCTTGATGCTGGCTGCTCAGCCACTGTAGGAAGGGTGCAGTACGAGACCACAGGACTCACCCATGTTTGGGGCCAGCACCGGGTACCTGCTTTAGCCCTTCGGGCTTCAGTATCAATGCAGGTGACACCATTGTTGGCCATGGTGACCTTGAAGCATCAAAGAAAGGGCATCTGTTGTCTAGTAAATATTGTAATGAGGAAAACAAGTGTGACACTAGACCCAAATGGGAAAGCTTGGGAATTTAAGTGGCACTGTTCACCATCAGGCCCTCAGGTCCCGAGCTGGAAGCCTTGAGGATTAATGAGGTAAATGGCTGAGGCAGATTCTTTTCCCGGTTTATAGAGGAGTAAGGCTTGAAACAGTTTATTTGGGTGAATCTATCAAATCGAACCACTGATTCAAGTCCAAATCTGTTTACACTAAAACCTGTATTTTTTTCCTGCTGAACCCCAGTTCAGTTATATCTATCAGAAACTTGCCTCAGAACCCCTCTCCTCTTTTAACAGTACTAGGGATCAAACCTCCTGGGTTTTCACAATGAACTATAGTCCCAGAGATTTATTTTAAATTTTGAGACAGGGTCTTAAGTTGCCCAAAATGAGTTTGAATTTACAATCCTCCAGCCTCAGCCTCAGAGTGCTGGGATCGCAAGCATGTGCCCACAAGGTCTGCTACAAGCTTTTCTCTAGGGGAAGCCTTAAAGGAGCCGGGTCCCTTTGATATTATCACTAACCCTAGAGATGTTCTAATGGAAGTTTTTAACTGGACTGGTCCCTGCTGAATAACTGGGAGAGAGTAAAACACTGTCAGTTTTGGCTCAGGGATTTAGCTCAGTGGCATAAGCGACTGCTTGGCAAGTGTAAGGTTGTCCAGTTTGACCCACAGTACCAAAAAAAAAAAAAAAAAAAAAAAAAAAGACAAAAAGCCTGTCAGTTTTGATTTATTTTATTACTCTTGGATCGTTCCAATTTTCTTCCATTGTTTCTACTGAAATTTTAATAAAATACTCCGTTCAAGTAGTGTCTTTTTTTCTCCCTCTGGCTGAGGATTGGATCCGGGGCCGTGGCACATGCTAGGCAAGTGTTCTGACGCTGAGCTACAGCTACGGTGTCTCATTTCATTAAAGCTTCAGCTTGTTCTGTCCTTGGTTGCTACTGTTTCTACCCTGATTGTCCGAAGCTAAATTTGGAAGACTTAAATTTAATCAAAGACTCTGTCACTCTTCCATCAGTAACCAGTTTTGTGTGCTGCTTTGCCACTGTCCAATTCAACTTCTCAATATTTCTACCACGAGCTGACACCGTGAACTAGACAAAAGCCTTGTTGGTGTAAAACGACACAATTTTGTCAGCATGGTTAAACATCCGTCGCCCTTCTCTTGTTATCTTTATTCCCTTCCCAACTCTGAAAAGCGTCCCCATGATTCCCCCCACCCCCAATTTTTTTCTTTACTCACAAAATGCATATGGCGGCATATTTCAAATGTGATTTTTTTTTTTCCTCCCCAAAAGAGCGAGGGACACAAGGGCATCACCTGCCCCGGGGGCTTGTCACAGGAGGACCCCTGAGTTGAGGCCCAAACACGCTCAGACCACGCCGTTGTCTCAGAAGAGCGAGGCACGCGCTCCTGGGCACACAAAAAACACTCACACTCGCGTCCACGTCGCCGGCGGGGACAGGACCTCGGGACGGAGGCGCAGCCCAGAAACGGCGGGGTAGCGGGGGGACGCTACTCTCTGCCGCCCGAAGCGAAGCCTCGCGGCGTCCAGGCGTCGCCATGGCGATGTGGCCTACGGCGGCCCGGATTGGCCAGGCGCGGCGCGCGGGGCCCGCCGGGAAGGGGCATGGCCGCTGCCGTCAGCGCTACCGGTTTGAACGCGGGCGCGATGGAGGCGGCGGGACGGTGTCGGGTGGCGTCGCCCCTTCGCCGTATCCGCTCCTCTGCCACCCCCGGGCCTGGCTCGGGCGCCAGCCTCGGCCTCAGCTCACCCGCCCAGGACCTGGCGGTGGGGAGCTCGCCCTCCCCGCCCCCAAGCTACAGCGACTCCACCCTGTCGCTGCTGTCGCCCCTCGGCCGCCCGGGCTTCCCGTTCGACGACGGCGAGGACTACGACGATGAGGACCACAGCGAGGACTACGACGGCGAGGACAGCGACGGCGAGGACGAGGCAGGCGACGTGGAGGCGCCGGGCCGCGGCAGGTAAACTGAGGCCGGGGCCGCGTCCCAAGGCCCTTCTGTACCTGTGATCTCTCTGCGGGCCTCCCTGCACCCGGGACCAGTCCTATCCACACACAACCAGGATTCTTGGTCAGTTTTGTTTTGTTTGGGATTTTTGGTTTTTTGAAAAAGGGTTTTTTGAAAACATTGTAGTCGTCTGGTTTCCAACTCGCGGTGATCCTCCAGCCTCAGCCTCCAGGGTGCTGGGATTATAGCAATATCTGTACATGGCAGGAGCTCCGTTAGTGTAGGGCACTCATAGGAGAGGGAAGGAAGGGGAGGCTGAATCCTATGAAGTGATGGAGTCCATGCTTACAAGCGTAAGCTTTTCAAAGACGGGCAGAAATAAGCACATGAGTGGGATTGGAGATCAGGAAGGCACTGGTCCACGGAGTGGTAGCCACAGGGAGAGGTCCTGGGCTTCAGGAGTCCTTCGTCTGAGCCTTTCTAGAGAGAGTCTTCAGTTCTGAAAGAATCCCGGCTACTTTTAAAGTGCATTTCAGGGACTTGGAGAAGCTTTACATATGAACATGGTTGGACAGCCTGAAGGGTACAGAGCCAGCTATGAGGAACTTGCGTGAGCTTCTGAGCCAACAGCTGCAGCCTTGTGGGACAGAACTAAATGTGTTACTGTGTGACCATGCAGTGTGCCTGTGTCTCGATTCCCCAAAGCCCTGGTCAGTGCCCTGGGCAGAAGTCACCTTCCTTACCCCATCCCTGAATCAGGGCTCTAGGAGGTGGCTTAGCAGAGATGAGAGGAACTTGCAGACCTTGTGGTGGCTGGTGCGGATGCGTGATGCTTGGTAAATATGTGTTGCTGAATCCCTTACTGCCTCCCTGAGAAGGGAGCCTAATGCCAATGCCTCAGAGCCTTGCTCACAGTCCCCTCCTCTCAGCAAATGCCCTGACTCCTCCCTGCTCCTGAGCTTTGGTGCCCAGCTGCTGGGGGTGAGGGAAGGGCAGGGCAGGGTCACAGCTCACATTGGGGCTCACATTGTTTGGGGCTGCCAGCAGTCCTTGGTGGGAGCAGGGCGTGAGTTGTATGGGCCTGGTGTCTTCTCTCCAGCCTCAGGCACTTGGTTGGTGTTCTTGGCACAGATTGGGCTATGGCCACACAGGTGAGCTTGCTAGCTGAGCGCCTGGCCTGCGGAGTGGTTGGAATTCGGAGTCTGGAGCTCAAGATGGAGGTCTGGTCGGAAGTTACTGAGCTAGCCTGCTTCACCTGGAGTACAAATCAGGGCTGGGGGAATAGATGAGAGCACTGACTCAGTTACTTTTCTGTAGTTGCTGGGACAAAACACCCGACACTCAACATGAAGGAAGGAAAGGTTTATTCAGCTCACAGTGTGTGGAGGTTTCAGTCCCTAATCGGCCAGCTCCATGACAGGGTGGCACATGGTACAGGGTCAGCAGTTCGTGGCAGCAGAAGCAGCAAATGCAACAAGAGCAAAATAGGAGGATGGAGAGAAGACTCCCTCAGTCCCTCATATTGTAGCAAGCTACTTGCCCCAGGGCAGGTATAACCACTCACACCCATAAGGCCAGCATTGGGCCTCGAATCAATCACAAACTCCAGAAGCCTGCCCCTGTGACTAGGAGGCTTTTGGGGGAACAGCCAGACACAAACCCTAACAGGCATTCTAGCCCAGCATGACAGTGCATGCCTGGAATCCTGGCATTCTGGGAGGCAGAGGCAGGAAGATCTCAAGTTCAAATCCAGCCTTTCTCAAAATACAAAAGGCTTAGGGATAGAGCTCAGTACAAAAGCCCTGAGTTTATCTCTAATACAGGGAAGAACAAGAAGGAAAGCAGAAATAAGACATGGGCAGTGTCTCTTTCCCACTAGAATAGAAATTCCACAAGGACATGAGTGAATGAGTGAATAGCAGCAGTGGGAAAAAATGAAGAGAGTGAATTTTTAAGGTAGAAAAACTTGTGCAGAGCAGCCATGAGGCAGTTGCTTGCCACAAGGGCCAACCTGTGTGATAAGCGCTTTGCAGTGTTCTGTGGGGCTGACAGCCTCGCTTTCTGATGCTGATTGGGAGGCTTTTGCCTCTTAAATTTATTTGCTTACTTTTGAGCTAGGGTCTCACTTTGTATTTTAGGCTGGTCTGTAACTTTCTCTGGAGTCCAGGCTGGCCTCCACACTGTGGCAATCCTCCTGCATCAGCCCCCTGAGTGCTGGGATTACAGACGTGCACTGCAGGGCCCAGCCTAGTACTATGCCATGTGGAGCTAAATACACAGCCAGCTGTATAATGGAGCCACCCAATGGGCTTCCTCCTCAGGGTCTGTCAGGCCCACAACCTGGTAAAGCTCGCAGTGGTTGAAACGCCTGCCTTCTCTTTCGGGCAGCTCCGACCCCGAAGAGGGGCAGGAAGAGTGGGCGGCAGCGCGTGTGGCCAACGGGCACCTGACCCCGTGGGAGCTGTGGTTCGTGGGCAAAGAGAAGGAAGAGCGTGAGCGGCTGCAGCGCCGTGCACTGGAGGTGAGGAAGAGGCTGCTCCGAGAGCCATGGGGGAGGGGGCTGAGCCACATTTGGGTGCGTGCGCGGGCATGCTCTATGGGAACTCCACCCCCCACGGTCTTAGCGGACTGTCTTCCATGCTCCTGCCCTGTGGACTAAGCAGCAAACCCATCACCCCACGCTGCTGCGCCCCTACTCTGAGCCTCCCCAGAGCCCTCAACTGCAGGTGCCGAGGTCCTGAGGTCCTGGGGGAGGTGAGGTGGTGTTGCTGAGATGTAGCTCCAGGCTACATCGACTTCATGGCCCTCTGAACACTGCGTGCAGCTGCTGGGAATCCGGCTTGGTTCCCTGCGTACCTCCGGGGCAGACCTGCGCATGGGCTGGGCAGTGTTCAGAGGGGGACGCAGCTGGCACGGGGGCCACATGCATGCCTGTCATTCTACCACAAGTGAGGCTGAGGCGGGAGGGTCACCGTGAGTCAAGGTCAGTCTGGTCTGTATAGGAAGTTCAAGGCCAGCCTGAACCTCAGAGACACCAACAAGGAATTGAGACTGTGAGCTTAGATCCTGAGCTTCAAGGTACCACATTGCACAAATGTAGTTGTTGCTAGGTTCTAAATAGCAAATCGTAAGAGCACACAACGCACAAAGGTTACTATGAGGGGCTGTGGACAGCACAGGAGTGCCCACAAGGACTCGGGTCTTGTCACCACAGAGACCTGTGGAGACAGAATGTACCCGCCCACCTCCATCTAGTTCCCTCCCAGGTCTCCCTGAGCACAGGGTCTAGTCCCCTCTAGTAACTGTGCCCCACTGGCCATGAACTCACTAGGTAAACCAGACTGACCTCAAGCCCACGGTGACCCTCCTGCCTCAGCCTCATTTGTGTTGGAATGATCGGCCTGTGTCTTTGTCTCTTTCCTGTCACTGTTTTCTCACTTCATGGAGTTCAGTGTTGGGCTTAAAAAAACTTTCTTCCCTATAGAGGGAATTGGCATGGCACCCTCATTTCCTGTGCCCCATTCCCGGCCCCGCAGCCGTGGCCTCCCAGACCCTCTCTTCCCAGGACCATGATAGGGTGGGATTGACGTCCATTCCCAACTCTGGGTGTTCCTGCTCCTGGCCTGTCCTCTTCTCCCTTCCCTCCCTCCCCTCCTGTCTTCCACAAGGTGCAAAAGGGAAGCAGCTGATGAAGCACCAGGCTCTGCAGGCTCCCGGGGCTGCACCCAGGCCCTCGCTGGCTCCCCACAGGTGCTTGTTGGAGGAGGCACCGTCTCCTGGACTTGTGGGGTACAGGTGTCAGCGCTGGGCAGTGAGTTCAGGACAGAGGGCCTGCAGTGCAGCCCCGGGCCCCAGCACCAAGTCGAGAAGTGGTCCTGGGCCCGGTCCTGGATCACCTGGGCCGGGCAGCACAGGGAAGTGGGAGGGGCACGGCTCCCCCTGCCAGCTCCCTGCGACTCAGCCCGAGTAACAGTGGTGCCCCAGGCATCACTGGGCCTCCGGAAGAAGCACCCCAGCCTGGCTGCCCCAGCTGGAGAGGGTGGAATAAGCTGCGGTGGGACGGCGCTGTGTCCTCTGCCCCAGCAGCTGTAAAATCAGGGAGAAAACTGCAGAGTGACTCTTTCTGGGTCTCCCTCAGCGGAAATGGGTTCAGGGTTTTACTGGGGGCTGTGTTCAAGTGCCGTCCTTCAGCATCGCTCTGGGACAGGGCTCCCCAGTCCACTCCGTGAAGCTTGGCCCCATGGAGAGAGCGCTTGGGTGCATGTGTTAAGTGATGTCTTTTGTTTCACGCAAACCCACAGGAGTTGAGTGAACAGCTGGAGAGGCGGAGGGCGAGCGAGGAGTGGGAGCGGAGGAAGGTGGCAGCAGCGGAGAAGCGCCGGGAGTGGCTGCGGGGCAAGGACGCACAGGTGAGGCCCCACAGCCCACGGGCCCCTGCCCCAGCCGCCCGGCTCCTCTCGTGGCCTGCAGTGCTCAGTGTGAAGCTTCTTTCCCTGCCCACTGTGGCCATCCCCTCCACTCGGCTCCCTGTTCTCCCCATGGTGCCCACAGCACCAGTGCCAGCACAGTCCTTGAGCCCTGGGAGTTTCAGCCCCCGTGGTGCCCCTATGCCCACGGCCCCCTTTCCTCGCCCACCACATCACCACACTCCTTCTGGTCCCACACTTGGCACAGGTACGCAGGTCCCCCAGACTCTCCAGCGCCCTGTGTGGCTTCTCAGCCACTCTGAGACCCCAGAAGTGCCTCAGCCCTCTCCCTCCCAACCCCCTGGGGTCTCCCGGCCAGGCTCCTCCTTCCGAGGGAGGAGTCACCTGACAGCCCCAGTGCCTCTGGTCCCTCTGTCCCTGGCAGTGCGTCCCTCCAGAATGTGCAGCAGACCCCAGGGCTCCCTGGCTCCATGCCATGTCCCTCTCCGTGGAGAATCACAAGAGGAAAACACATCCATTTTGACAGGAAAATAAGCACGGGCTGGTGACGGAGGGGAGTGTACCTTTGCTCTTTATTTTTGGTGTTGCTGAGATTCCAGCCCAGGGCCTTGCATGTGCTGGGCTGGTTCTGCACCTGCGAGCTGAACCCAGCCTGCAATTCCTGGGGTTTCCCAGATGGGAACAGATTTGCTGCAGGCTTCACTTCTGCCTCGCATGGCCCGGACCCAGGGTCCCGGTGTTGCTGAGACCCTGGGAGAGTACTACTGTTTCTGTGTCTCTGTCTCTCTCTCTCTCACACACACACTGGGGTACTGGGGTTGAACCCAGAGCTGTCACTGCGTCCCCAGTTGTTGGTTTTAGTTTTTATTAGGAGCCGGGGTCTCATTAAGTCACAGTCCTCCTGCCTCAGCCTCCCAGAGTGCTGAGGTCATGGGCAGGCGCTGCACATTGAGGCTGAGAGCCATAAAGCAGAACACAAATCTGCCAAGTCCTCTCCTCCGCCCCCTTGGCGTGGGTGCTGTTCCTCCTGGTAGGAAAGGTCCAGCAGGGGACCCAGGACAGGTGCCGTCTATTTAGTGCAGGGAGATCTGACCCAGGTCTTGAGGGGAAAAAAGGTGTCTTTTGGAGCACACGTGGCTTCACCCTTTTGCAGGATCAGGGCTGGCCCAAGGCTGTGGCTTTTTCCTCTTCGGCCAGGATCAGGTTTCTCCCGAGGGCCAGCCCTTCCCCTCTGGCTACAGACACCTGCCCCATTTACCCCCACATCCACCAAACTCACCCTGGGTCCCCACAAAAGCCCTGACGGAGAATCCACCCTGGTGAGCTCCAAGGTTCCTCACCACCTGCTGCAGCTCCTGGGCTCTTATGACAGATGCTGTCTCTCGTCGCCCCTCTCTCGCTGTGTCACAGATCAATTTATTTTCTAGATATTTTTGAACAGCACTAATACATATTTTGCCAAAAAGCCCTTTGTATTAATGTTATGCTGAGATTTACAATGAAGTCATCTTGTGTGTGTCTTTTTGAGATCAGGTCTCACTATGCCATTCCGCTGGCCTTCAGCTCTCTGTGTAGCCCAGGCTGGCCTTGAACTCACAGCAATCCTCCTGCCTCAGCCTCCCAAGAGCTGGGATAAAAGATGTGTACCACCGCCATGCCCAGCTCAACCCATGAAGTCATTTTTAATTCTCAAAACACAGCTGCAGTCCCTGCATGAAGACCATGCCCAGACCGGCCTGGTGTGGCAGGGGTGGTGTCTGTGCAAGAGCGGGAGCAGCCTGCCAGGCAAGGATCCTCTCCCCACTGTCAGAGCCCAGAAGCCCTGCGAGGGCAGCCCTGTGACCCATGTCCACCCTGTTTGCCCTGTATTCTGAGCCCTTCTGGACATGTCGGTCCCCTCTGGTGTCCTCTCAGTCCCACCATCCCTCTATCCACTGCTGGTAGGCACAGTTGGGGGAGCTGGATTTGGGGTAGAAGTTGCTCTGACCACTTGAGGGCCAGGCTCTGGGCCCGTGGCCAGCCTGAGTTTGCCTCTGCACTGTGCTGGGTCCCACTCTGTCCAGGGCCCCGGGGCAACAGCATTGCTGGCTACACATGGTTCTCTCCTATTAGCAGGGCCACGGTGCATCTCTACAGCAAGTGTCGCCCAGGTCTGTCAGGGTGCCGGATCAGAGTGCCAGCCAGGGGTGGCCAGCAGCGAGGGCTTTTCCCTGACCCTGAACACAGGAAGGCATGACACAGCACTGACCTTCCTATAGGCCCATCTGCCTGGCCCTCATCTGGCTTCGTCTGGACACCTGTGTCGCTGGTGTCTCCTTGCAAGAGTGCTGGTCCTTTTGGACTTGGGGTTCATCCTTCCAGCTACCCTGAAACTGCATTTCCCTTGAAAAGCCCTACTTCTGGGCAGGGTGGGGACTCTGGCCAACAGCTTCCTGGCTGTTTCTGCATCTCTTGTGGTATTGACTTTCCAGGTTTTGTTTTGCATTGGTTTAAGTCTCTCGTCTTGTTTCTTGAGACAGAGTTAACTTTGTAGTCAGGCTTGTCTTGAACACTATATATAGCCTAGGCTGGCCTTGAACTGGTAGTGATCCTCCTGCCTCAGCCTCCTGTGTGCTGGCATCACAGACTGGGGACACCATGCTGACCATGGTTTCTTTGCTCATTTTTTAAAAGTGGTTTTGTAGCTCAGGGGCAGAGGAATTCTTAGCATTCATGAGGTCCCGTGGAGTACACATGAAGTTCTAGATTCAAGCCTCAGCGCCCACTCCAAAGATATAAGAATTGTTTTCTTTTTTTTTTCTTTCTTTCTTTTTTTTTTTTTTTTGTCTTTTTCGTTTTTATCGGTACCAGGGATCAAACTCACGACTGCCTGCTTGCCAGGCAGGAGCTTATGCTGCTGAGCTAAATCCCCAGCCCCCTGAATTGTTTTCTTTTGAGGATGGAGTCTCACTCTGCTGTCCAGGCTGGCCTCGAACTCCTGCCTCAAAGGATGGTCTCTTCCCAGAGCAGCAGGCCGGGAGACACACACCGCTGTGTCAGCTCTGAGTTAATCTCGTGTGTGTCTGTCGCTTTTCTTTGCTATTGGCTGTGCTGAGCGTGTGCCCCAGCCCCTACCCACTGGACGAGTGCTCACCCCTCAGCAGCACAGCCAGGCTGCCCTCCCTCATCAAACACATGTACCACAGAAATTTCACAGCATTTCTTAATAGTGTTTTTAAAGAGCAGAAGTTTTGCATTGTGAGGATGTTCTGTGTTTCAATTCTTTGGTTTTATAACTCGTGGCTTCTGTGTCTTTATTGAAAAAGGATTTGTCCACCCCGAATGTGGATATTCTCCTTGTTTCTGAGTAGGGGCTGGGGATTTAGCTCAGCGGCATAAGCACCTGCCTTGCAAGCAGGCAGTCATGAGTTCGATCCCTGGTACCGATAAAAAAAAAAAAAAAAAAGAGAAGTTGGATAGCACTAGCTTTGCTCCGTCTGGGTTTGGGGTTTATCTTAATGAATGGTGTGAATTGGGGGTCAGAGCTCACATGTTTGGCACAGACAGCCGGCGATTCCAACAGCTGATTGGGAAGAGACTCCTTTGATTAAAGTCAAGGGGCCACCGTGTGGTGCGCTGTCTGCGGGTTCTGTAATCCTCACTGGTCATGGCCTGTAGAGCACTGGCTTGGTACTAGACTTTCTTAATTCTGTAATGTTTGCTTCTTAACGTCAGCCAGCGTAGACGAGCCGGCTCCTGTCTCCTGCTTCAGACCCTTTGTGCCCCGTGTCTCTCATGGCAGGGTGGGGCCCACCTGTGCAGTGTGAGATACCCACGTGGGTAATTTTGGGGGAAACTGCTATTTTAGTAGCATCAGATTTAAGCATCTCTAAACATGGTCGCCCTCCTTATTATGTATGTCTTAGTTTCACCAGGGCGTGATGGTACCGTAGTCTCCATCCCTGAGGATTTCATGGCTAGGGGCCGAGGACAATTATCTCTCTCTGTTCCTGATGTTATCTTTTCATGCCTGGTTTTCATGTCAGTATAATAACTAGTGTCTTAAAATGAGCTTGGATGTGTCCCTTTTTCTGTGTTTTCTACCATAATTTAATAGTTGTGTGATAAAATCTCCCAGAAGCTATCAGAGACTGCGGCTTGCATGAGAAAGCTTTTACTTTGGAGTTGTTTTTGTGAGTAGGTAATTGCTCCAATACTGTGTCTTCTTCAGTTAATTTTGGGAAGGGAGTATTTTAAGGAGTTTGGCATTTCACTTAAGTTGTTTTTTTTTAAGCAATTTCTCCTCTCATTTTATGTCTGCATGACCTATAGCTCTTGGGGACGCGCAGTGTGACCTTGGAGAGATCACCCCATCTCTGCCTGTCTCTGCTTCTGTGTAAAACAGGGTGATCTTAGTGCTGTCCTCGCTGGGCATGGTGGCACCCACTTGCAATCCCAGCACTAGGGAGGCTGAAACAGGAAGATTGCTGTGAGTGCGAGACCAGCCTGGATACCTGGTGAGGCTGTGTCTCAGAAAACAAAAATTAAAGAGTAAGTGCGCTTTCCTCTTTCCTGCGAGCCCATCGCCACCCACCTTTGTGGGGTGTGTGGAGCAATAGCAGGGTGCTTGGCACACAGCAGGCAGGACCGGGGCCCCATGTGTGCTCTTCCTCCTGCTATCTGGCTCCTGCCTGGGCCCTGTGCTCCATCCCCCCCACACACACACAGTTCGTCCTGACCCTGCCGAGCGGCACAGTATCCCTTGGGGTCAGCCCTTGGTTCAGTGGGGGTGAGGCCTGAGGGCTTGGGGGTTCTTGGCCTGCAGTCCCCGGGGCAGCCGGGTGGCCCCAAGCAAGGAATCTGTAGCCCAGCGGGGTGACCGCATCGCCATGACCCTTCTTTGTGGACAATGTGGGCATTGCAGTCACGCCTGTGTGCTCTGGGGCCCGCCAGACTCAGCCACCTGCAGTGGCACTGTCCAGCGTCCACCGTGCAGGCTGCCTGCCGGCTCAGGCACACACTCAGTCTTAGCAGGTCTCAGAGTGAGGGGCGTTAAGACCAGGATGGTGGACTCTACTTCTGCGCACTGATTGCCGTAGCAAGGCTGTGTTGAGCTCCTGCTGTTTCTGCAGCATCGTGCAGGCAGGGAGCGAGATCTTTGCCTTCACAGGAGGCCGCTGTCTGATTTGCTGAAGTGTTGCTCCAGCTGCAGTAGGGCTGCCCACTTGAGGAGCCGATAGAGGCTCAGACATTATTGTACACAACTGTCTGTCTTTGCTTACCTGAGGATAATCGCAGTCTTTCCAGTAACACGCCCCGTTTTCATTTAAGAAAAGGAAAGAAAGAGAGCAAAAAATAAGTAAAGAAATGGAGGAGAAGGCAGCAAAGGAGCTGGAGAAAGAACAGTTGCAAGAAAAAGCAAAAGAAAAATACCAAGAGTGGTTAAAGAAAAAAAACGCCCAAGAGTGTGAGAAGAAGAGGAAGGAGAAGGTATAGCAGCTTTGTGAAGGTGCCGGTGCTTGGCCATGGGGTGGAATGGGACCCTGGGACCCTGGGCGTGTCTCTGCATGAAACACACACGGGTGAGCTCTCCACTGGGTTCCCTTGCAGGGCCAGTAAGTTGGGGTCAGCGTGTTTCTCAGTGATGGCTTTTATTTCCAGGTGTGTTCTTACCTGCCCATATGGTAGACACTTTACATAAACTTCCCTCCCTTTTAAACAGCAAGGCCTTTGCTGTCAGGCTCTGCTGTGTGGCTGTGCGCAGAGGGGCCGTCCTAGCCACACACCTGGCCACCTCTGCTTTTGCTCACAAATGAGAGAACTCTGCCTCGGGCTCCGGCCAGTAAGCCGCAGGGTGGGAGACGCAGGGAGCTGCCAGGGGAACTCTGGCCGGGGTCTGCTGTAGCCGGAAATGCTTTGGCCTTATCCTTGTAAGGAGAAGGAAAAACAGCGGCAAGCCGAGTTACAGGAGAAGAAGGAAATCGCCGAGAGGAGGTTTAAGGAGTGGTTGGAAAACGCGAAGAACAAGCCTCGCCCGCCCGTGAAGAGCTACGGCTATGCCAACGGGCGGCTCACAGGTACGTGGGGGACCCGGGCCGCTGGACGCATCCTGGTGGACAGGGCGGGAAACGTTGCTTTTCTGTCAGGTGATTTTCCTGGGAGATAGAAACACATCGCTTTGCTAAGGAGGCACTCCAGGCCTTACCCAGCGCTGTGAGTTATGTACATACCTTATGTGTTTAGTGTTTCTTTTAATACCAATTGCAGTATTTAGTATTTTTGAAAAGTACCATTTCTGAAAATGCTCAGGATTTCAGGTTTGGCTGATTCTCAGTGATACTTTGCCTTTTTGACATTTAACCTTTTCCCTCACACTAGTGATTTCTTTGACTGAAGATACCTTTTTCCTGTTTTGCTCTGCATGTTTGCTGCCTATAGGATTCTACAGTGGAAATTCCTACCCAGAGCCAGCCTTCTGCAACCCTGTCCCCTGGAAGCCGATCCACGCACCCCCGCCACGGGAAGCCAAGCCTCTTTCGGAGCAGAGAAGCAAGAGGCCCGCGGGGACCCGGCCGCTCCCGGTGGCATCCTCATCACTGACGGCTCGCAGGAGCAGGAGCAGCCTGTGCCTGGGGTCCACATGCAGAGCCCAGAGATAGCAGTGAGGATGCCCGTTTCCTCCAAACTGCTGGATTCTGAAATCCAGGACCGTTGTGCTCTGCGGCTTGGTGTGTTGGCGCTGACTGTTGACCCGTCCCTGTGCTCGCTGACCGGCCATGGAGCCCTCGGACGGAGGAGTTTCCTGCCAGTGGCTGTTTATCCCCATTGGGGTTGACTTGGCACAGTGCTCTGCGAAACACGGGACCACAGAACTGGCGGCCGTGCCGGTGTTTAGCTTGTATTCAGTCTGCACGGCCCTATCAGTAAAATCAGCTTTTCCGTGTTCTCTCATGGTGTGTTATTTATGTTTATGCATATAATTAGATGAAGGTTAACTTGTTGGAGCAAGCATTTCGGAATTACGTGATCATTTACGTGATTAGAAGCCCAAAGTAATCCAAACCAGGCTTTGTTGACGTTTTCAGAATATCTTTCCATGCAGGTTCTTGTAGTTTAAAAATCATGAGCTGAATGCCTGTCTTCCCAGAAGCTGGGGAGGCCTGTGGCTCTCATGGGAGAATCTCAGGGTCTGGGCACCAGGTCCTAGATTGGGGGGGGGGGTGTGAAATCTCCATGTGTTTGCTGTACTTTGTCAAAACACTTGGAGACTTATTGGTCTGCTAGCTTTGAAATTAGCTACAATATTCTTTGTAATAAAAATGTTAAAAACTAGATTTTATTTTGGGGAAGTTGAGTCAGATCTTACTAAGAAATATGTATGACATGTACAGTGTTGTAGTCAGGGGTCATGCGGAGAACAATTAGAATTAGGACACAGAATTTATAATACTATTTTATGATGTCACTCAGAGTTAACACAAAAAAGTGCAGGAAATCTGCCCGTAACACCAAAGACATAGAATATTTAGCCAAGCCCAGCAATGTCCTACGTGAGTTTAGATGAAGACCCAGAGCTGATGACAATGCCTCCCTCAAGTCCAGCTGGAAGTCTAGAGCCCACGAGAAGTATTCATGCCAGTCTGCTTTATGAATCTGCTGGGAAGGCCCAAAGGTCAGCAGTGGAAGCTAGAAAGTCTATGCCAGCTAGGAGAAGGAGCTGTGCTGGTAGGTTGAGGGTTCTATGCTGAAGCCAAGAAGTCACACAACAAAGACCAGGGCTGCCCTGAGAAGTACCACAGCCATCCTCAGCGATGGAGGCCCTGAGCTCCTCTGATGATAAGAATAGTCGAGTACATGCCAGGAAGCCAGCATGACGAGTTTGTCCTGGAGATTAAACAGCACACATCTTTTCCCTCCAGAGACAGGAACCAATGCTCGATGTGAGGACCAGAGCTCCCCGAAAGTGAACCACAGCCATTCTCACCAGCAAGGACCCGAGCTCCTCTAACGACAATGGTTGAACTCACATTGGGGAAGCTAGTAATGACGAGCTCTCCAAGAGAACCAATGGTTCAGAGCAGCAACACTTAGACCCACAATGGCGCACTCTTCTCCACATTCCTCTTAGGCTAGCAACTGTCCTCAGGTGGAACATCCATGTTCAGCACCATGGTGATTTAATGCAGCTGGTGTTAAGTCTGACCACCAGTTTCTAATACATAACGAAATAGTAACTGAAATGGGTACTATAGAGCACTCTGCTTCTTTGTTACATTTTATGTCTGTATCAACTTTGGAAAGGTCTTTTTTAGAGAAGGATCAACAGATGAAAAACTTCATTGAAAAGTGATTCTGCTGGGTGTGATGGTGCATACCTGTAATCTCAGCAGTTGGGAGGCTGAGACAGGATTGCTGCGAGTTTGAGGCCAGTGTGTAACACACAATAAGACCCTGCCTTAAAAAAGTAAATAAAGTGATTGCCATGTAGAAAATAAACCCCATGCTTTTGCTGGGTGAATCCTCTGCTGAGTTCCAGGAGACGGGGAGGGGAGGCGTTGGGGAGAGGAGAAGCAGCAGCAGCATCTTGGGGTGCTGAGGTCACCAAGAGCCAGGACAGCGCATGGCGGCAGGGCCAGGGGAGGCAGCTGACTCCGACATGTCTGTCGCTCTGTGTCTGTGTGTGTATGTGTGCACATAGCTGGATGTGGATGGTCAGGCCCCTTCTCGGAGTCACACACCCTCCCCTCCAGCCCCGTTGAGCAGCTGGCCTTTCTGTAAGGGGCCGTCACCAGGTGTCCACGAGGTTAACTTCATTCTGAGAGGAAAGAAGCCTGGCTCCCAGCACTGTGGAGGCCAAGGCAGGAGGGTCACCAGGAGTCCAAGGCCAGCCCAGGCTGCATAGTAAGACACTGTCTTAAAACAGAAAAAAGAAAGAGAATAGTTTTTGGAAATTTAGGTATTCTGAGAACTACTGGGGCTGTTTAAGAAATTTTGTGTTAATTTGGAATGATTTAGGTAACTAGAATTTCAATTTTATAATAGATATAATTTTAGTTTTATAATAGAAAATAAACGATGAAATTATTTAATGAATAGTAATGTCAATTTAATGTTGGGAAGTTGACTTTAGTATTAGTTTACAAGTGAATTACTGATGCTCTATTAAATGGTATGGAATTAAAATACTCTAATTTAACAAATCCCAACTGGCCTAAAACTTGCACAAAAAAAAAAAAATAATGAAATCATGGAAAGCCAAGAGTGTCTGTGACTAACAGGTCAGTTACTTCTCAGGGTGTAGCTACCAGATAGTGAAATGCTCCCCACTTGCAAAAACGGAAGCTGTTGTTTAAACAGCCAGGCCTGAGGATGTCCACCTGTCACTGTAGCCCTCAGGAGGCTGAGGCAGGAGCACCAGTGGGCTGCCTAGTAAGTTTCAGGCCAGGCTACACACATAGTGAGATCCTGTCTCAAAACAGTAGCACAAAATCCATTCTGAGATGCTGCGTACTGGTAGTAAACCATTTACCGCTGGTACCTGCGGGCTCACGGGGTCCAGTGGCTTTTCAAGGCCCCGCACTACAGAAGGACCCTAATAGTACTGTGTTCACCAGGAACCCAGCAGCCCCACAGCCTTCGGGACCTGGCTGGGGACAGGCGGCCGGACAGAGGCACAGGTGCAATGGAGTCCTCTATGTGTGGCCCTGGGACGACGGCCCCCCGAGAGCAGAGGCTCCTAAGAAGCCGCTCACAGGCAGAGGGGAGCCCCAGCTCCAGGCCGAAGCAGACAGCCTGGGACAGCTTGGGGAGGGTGCCAATCTAGCCGCTCGTCCTCCACCTCAGGCCCCTCACGGCCACCAGGTCACACGTGAGGACCCAGCGCCTTGCAGGGTAGGGAAGGGTTTTGGATGATTGGAAACTGGAAGCTCGATGGCACCTGTGCGAGCAGTGGATGGTCGGGCCGGGGATGACCGTTACCGTGATGAGCGTTAGTACACTCGGTGTTCTCAGCGCCTGTGGTGTACCTCCATCTTAGGGTTCTGCCAGTTTTCACTTGATCTTTTAGAACTTCCTTTGTTTTAGGACCAGAAATGGAACTCAGGGCCTCGATTTGGCCAGGCAGGAGCTATGCTGCTGAGCGGCAGCCCCTGCCCTCGGATCACTAGAAGTCAGTTTTGTCTGTGGTTTTTTTTTTTTTTTTTTTCCTGCCATGCAAATGTATAGAGTTTACCATCCTCCTTCTCCTCCTCCTCACTCACCTCGCCCAGACCCTGTGACCCCCTTCTAGACAAGGCTGCTTGTTCAGGGTACCTGGTGCCTCGTTCACCATGGGGAGTCAGTACAAGTACAGAGCACATCTTCACGTGACTTTGTGTGTGTGTGTGTGTGTGTGAGAGAGAGAGAGAGAGAGAGAGAATCTTACTATGCAGTTCAGGCGGGCCTTGAGCTCACTTTGTAGCCCAGGCTGGTCTCAAACTCGCAACGATCCTCCTGTCTCAGCCTCCCGACTGCTGGGATTACAGGAATGCATCACTTTGCCAGCCAGCCCACCCTTTACTATTTTTATAGAATGTCTTGTTCTGCCCTCTGAATTTTAGCATGTCGTTTGAAATGCTGTTTTCAGCAGTCCACGCATTCCATGCATATGCTCCGCAGTGGGGTGTGGGTGCGGGGATAGCGAGTCTTCGTTTCCTACCTTGTCCCTCCGCCATCCCTGGCTCCTTCTGCGCGGCTCAGTCTCCCTACTGACTATTACCTGTCTTTATCTTGCTCTTTGTCTATAAGAGATTCTTAGCTGTGTCAGAGAAGACCACGTCACACTTGAGGAGAAAGGGGCTTCTCTGGGAGTGACAGACTCCGTGCCATTAGCTGTGACAGCTGGGATCCCAGGTCAGGAAGCAGAGGAGGCTCCGTCCAAAACCAGGGATCTCGCTGCTCTGGACCCGCACTGTTCTTTCCCCAGCCAGCGCCCTGGGGTCCTTAAATCCCCACCCATTTGCACGCTGTGCTGTGGAATAGCTTTGAAGCTGAAGACCTGAATTAGCCACCTTCTTTCACAGCATTCCAGGACACACTGAGCTCTCACAAAACCCCGCTCTTGTTATTTCAGGTGGTTCCAGTCTGTTATTCTTGCATAAAGATGCTGAGGTTCTTCCAAGAGAGAGTCAAAGAAAAATTTAGCAGTAAAACAGATTAAAGGGGCCTTGAGTATAAGGGTCCTGTCACCCAGTGAAAGAGGGGTTTGGCGAGGCCCAATCGTAAAAGGATTTTCGTAGAAAGTTTCAAGAGCTTATTATCTCTGTTCTCACCCACCAGAAAGCAGCATAGAGAAACTTAATTGCTGGTTAGAGCAGAAGTGGGTTTCAAAATACCTAGCAAAGCACCATGTGGATAGTACACATGTGTAACTGTGGGTTAGTAGTGAAAGAAAGGGAAATATTTGTGATATATTGGAGCAATGGGGATTCTCTTGTAATTCTTTCTTTGGCCCGTGAAACCTTCCTACGAAATACTGAAGAACAGGATGCAAAAAAACCCAGGTTCATAGCGTCTGCTTAGGGTGACATAAGCCTATGAGAAGCAGAAAGGACCAAACTAACTTTTAGCAAAGTTGATTTCAACTCCAAATTAAAACAGCTGAAGCCATATAGACACACCTCAGCCGAGCTCCATGGAGAATGACAGGAAATCACAGCTGGAGATGTGGCCCATGTTCGGCCCACGCTCAACCTGGTTTGAGCATCTCCGAAAAGAATTTAAGAAGAATCTTAGTTAGGTCCCTCCCTCCTTCCTGTCCTACCTCTTTCCTTCCCTCCCTCTGTACCACGGATTGAACCTGTACAGAAAGTGGCCCTCGCCCCGATGTGTATCCCTTCTTCTTCTTCTTCTTTGTTGTTCTATTTTAAAGAAAAAATCAGGAAAATCAAAAAGCAAACCAACCTAAAA